CGGTGATGCCTTTCGGGCTGACCAACGCGCCCGCAACATTTCAGATGACCATGAACGAGGCGTTTAGGCCACTCTTAGATAAATGCGTGATAGTTTACCTCGACGACATCCTCGTCTACAGTCGCGACAAGCAGCAGCACTTAGCGGATCTTGAAGCAGTATTTAAAGTTTTAGAGGAACATCGGCTACTCACTTAGGGCTCTAAGTGCGAGTTTTTTCGGGACAAGCTAGAATTTTTGGGGCATGTTATTTCGGAGGCTGGAGTTGAAATCGACCCAAAGAAGCTGGATACGGTAAAAGCGTGGCGTCCCCCGACGAACATCACGGAACTGCAGAGTTTTTTAGGGTTCGTTAATTATGTTCGTCGGTTCGTTCCCGACATGGCACAATTGACCGCCCTGTCAGAATTATATTCTTATACCTGCATGTAGTTCTAGCTGTAGTGTAGATATGAACTTTATAGGTGGTGCACCTCTTTCTTCACTTGTTTGCTATATGTACTCTCTTGCTATAGTGAACAACCATTCCCAACTTTCTCGATACTTTTCTCCTTGGCACAAACCTCTCGACTTCCTCTTGGCCTAGGCTTTGCTATATGTACTCTCTTGCTATAGTGAACAACCATTCCCAACTTTCTCGATACTTTTCTCCTTGGCACAAACCTCTCGACTTCCTCTTGGCCTAGGCTACTAAGCCTAGGCCGCCTTAAATCTCAACTACCTCTTAAGCTAGTATTTTAACATGGCATTAGAGCGTGTTTCGTCCTGGCCTGTGGGCCCGCCTTATGCTTCCGCTGCTGTTTTTCCGGTCGCGCGCCTAGGGCGCGTGGCGATTTTTGTCCTGTCCCGCCCCCGGGTGGCGAGTGACACCTTCTCTGCCCGTCGCACGCCCCGTGGCACGCGACGGTGCTCTAAACTTGCCCGTCGTGCGCCCTGTGGCACGCGACGGTGCCCTGCTCGTCGTGCGCCCCGAGGCACACGACGGTGCCCTAAACTTGAACTTGCCCGTCGTGCGCCCCGTGGCACGCGACGGTGCCCTGCTCGTCGTGCGCCCCGTGGCATGCGCGACGATGCCCTTGAGCCGCCGCGGAACCGCCCCTGGCGCCTGCGACGGTGTCCTGAACCGCCAAGTACCCACCCCTGGCGCACTCGGCGGTGCCTCTGCTTCACCCCGCGCCTGCACTCCCTGCAGCCGCCCCCGACCTACCTGCGCCGACCCTATGTAGCCGCTCTGCGGCTTTCTTCCCGCCCACCCCCTCCTCCTTCGTCTCCCTGCAGCCGTGGGGGGGAGGGTATGGGGGTGGCGAGTGTTGGAGTGTTGGGTAGTGTGCTTCCCTTCCCCTCCTCCTCCTTTCGTTCCCAGTGCTGCAGCTGCCGTTGGGGGGGAGGGTGTGAGGGTGTGGGGGAGCTGGGGGAGTGGCATTGGGGTGGCGGGTGTGAGACCATCCAGCAGCCGTCCCTCCACCTCTCCTCTCTTCCCCCCTCTGCTGCTCCTACAGCAGTGTGGGGGGGAGGGGGAGGGTGAGGAGATGGAGGGGGTGATCAGCCAGAGCCAGCCCGCCTCCTCACTCTCCCTGCTGCCCCTCCTGTGGTTGAGGGGGGAGAGGGTAAGGGGGTGGCAGGAATTGCTTGCTGTCGACCTGCTGTACCTGCTCTGTTACTGTACCTGCTGTTGCTGTTTTATCAGTCTGTGGTGTACCCCTGCAGGTTGTGTTTTGCACTTAGCTATTCCTGCATGCAGTTACGGGGGGATGTCAGAATTATATTCTTATACCTGCATGTAGTTCTAGCTGCAGTGTAGATATGAACTTTATAGGTGGTGCACCTCTTTCTTCACTTGTTTGCTATATGTACTCTCTTGCTATAGTGAACAACCATTCCCAACTTTCTCGATACTTTTCTCCTTGGCACAAACCTCTGGACTTCCTCTTGGCCTAGGCTACTAAGCCTAGGCCGCCTTAAATCTCAACTACCTCTTAAGCTAGTATTTTAACACGCCCCGCTGACGGATTTACTGCGAAAGGGGGTCGTTTTTACGTGGGGGGAGAAAGAGCATGCTGCCTTCTCTGCCCTGAAAAATGTTCTCTGTTCACCGCCCGTCCTGCGCATCGCTGACCCACACCGCCCCTTCGAGGTTGTTACAGACGCAAGCGACATCGCCATTGGAGCCGTACTGCTACAGGACTTCGGCAACGGCCTACAGCCCATCACATAGGAGTCACGAAAACTGCATCCGCCCGAGCGAAATTACCCGATACACGACCGCGAAATGCTCGCGATCGTGCATGCGTTCAAAGTGTGGCGCCGCTACTTGACCGGCGCAGACGTGACAGTACGAACAGACCACCGATCACTACAGTACCTCCGCGCACAGCCCCACCTCAACCCACGACAGATTCGGTGGCTCGATTTCCTCGAGTCAAACTTCCACTACACAGTCACCTATAAAAAAGGAGCCTCGAACATCACCGACGCACTGACCCGCACCACTGCCCAGATCCACGCAATACTACTCGCCAAGACCAGCCCGCTACTGGCAGGACTATTTACCCACGGATATCAAACAGACCCATTCTTCACAGGAGGAAATTCGCAGCAGTTCGCAGCAGCCAAGGGAGTCTATTACGTAAAAGCCGGGACCGAGCGCATCTGGGTACCAGGGTACACACTGCTACGGGAATTACTACTACAGGAGGCACATGACGGGGTTACCTCGGGACATTTCGGGGTAGAGAAAACACGGCAGCAGCTGCAGCGGTATTATTACTGGCCCGAAATGTTGACCGACGTACAGCGTCACGTGGCATCGTGTCCCACTTGCCAGATCATGAAGTCAACACGGAAGGGGCCGGCGGGACAGTTGCAGCCAATCCCACCTCCAGAGCGTGCTTGGCAGCAGGTGACGATGGACTTCGTCACGGGGTTACCGGCCGGGGCGAGTGGAAATGACGCGATCCTGGTCGTCGTCGATTGACTGACGAAAATGGCACACTTCGCAGCCTGCAAAGAATCAATCACAGCCGAAGAAACAGCCCGCCTCTTCATCTCTACCGTCGTTCGACTGCACGGGATACCAGCATCAATCATCAGCGACAGAGACACGAAATTCACCAGCAACTTCTGGCGAAACCTGTGGCAGCAGTTCGGCACACGACTACAGTTTAGTTCATCGTACCATCCCGAAACAGACGGACAGACAGAACGGACAAATCAGACCATGGAACAGCTCATCCGGGCTACGTGCAACGACCCAAACACGTGGGAACAGCAACTGCCACTCATCGAACTCGCATACAACAACGCCCCATCCGCCACGACCCAACTGTCACCGTTTTACCTGAATTACGCACAAGACCCAACAGTACCCATGACCCCGAATCCCGACAACCCGGTTCCACGCGCGCAACAGTTCGCCGAAATTTTGCAAGCAGCACGGACCAGGGCAGCAGACGCAATTAAAAAAGCTAACATCATCGCTAAACGCAACGCCGACCGCCACCGTAGACCTGTCACTTACCAGCCCGACGACTTAGTTTTACTCGACACCCAAAATCTTCGATTGCCCATCACCCCGAAACTCTGCCCCCGATACTGCGGGCCATTTCGCATAAGCCACATGATAACACCCGTCACCGCTCACCTCCTCCTCCCTGCTGACTAGTACGTCAGCCCCTCGTTCCACGTCAGCCTGCTTCGCCCCTACGTCCCGTCCACAAGCCAACTCCGACGCAATCGCCCAGCCAGCATGATACAACCGCCGACTGAACCAATCATCACCCCCGAAAAAATCCTGAGCCACAGAGTTCGTGACCCTTGAGGAGCCCGAAGGATCGAGTTCTTACTCCGCTGGAAGGACCGTACACCCACCGAAGACAATTGGGTTCCCCTGGACAGAATCGAACACCACCCCGTCCTCACCGAGTATCTGCGAAGCCGGAATTTCAGGGATGTACACGCACTTTCGTAAGGAGGACCTCCTTAAGGGGGGGGGGGGTAGTGTAAGGAAAATCTCTTTTTCCTTACTTCGCATCCCTGCTCAACGCATACATCACTGTAGCACCACAGTCAGCACCGTTACCACTCGCAATCCTCGCATCGACAATCCGCCCGCCACCTTCGCACGTCGCACCCCGACCTCACGGCTCGGCGGGTAACCCGCACTCCGGGCCTCCGCTTCGACACTTTTCCCAACCTCAGTCCCAGGCCCGTCGCGCGACAACCAGAGTCCATTACCGTTACCACTGTAGTTTCGCTATATATTCTTCTCTCATGCCTTCGCTGATTGGACTCTTGCTTCGATAGTGCAATTCTCGTTCGTTCACTCAATTGCACTCATAACACATCTATGCTCTCCACAACCAGAGACCCTTTTTCCCGCCAAGACCGAGGTCAGGCACTTCCAATCAGCTCCCAGCCAGCCTTGATTTTTCCGTTGCACGAAGCTCGCGAATGCAGTAACCCCGCCATCCAGTGTGTGAGTGGATTTCTCCGCGCCAATGTCCCTGACACATGTCAGCGGGTTCCCGCGTTATCTCCGCGGTTCGTGCTTCAGGAATTTCAGTATGCCGCTTTGACCAGTGGAAAAGCCCATCGAGATTGGGCCATGACAGCCTCGAGTTCTTCCGAAGCTCGGACGCTTTGGGATCTGCCCGTGTTGGGAATATTTCCACGGCTCCCGCATAGGTATGGTTTCCCGTTTGCTTAGGGATTGTACCAGACTGTCTTGGTTCGGAATTTACCAAACCACCGAGGTTTGCCTCCTGAATTCAGATCTGGGGCACACAGCCTGTCAGGGAGAAACTCTCATCCAGCCTCCTGTGTCTGCTGGCTTACATGTGACGAGGATTATATAACCTCCCCAGAACCATACCATCTTCACGCATCGAGTGTTGACGACCTGATATCGTCACACGAGAGCCTTTGAGCTATTCGCCTTCTAGCCTTCTAGCTTTCCTTAGCCCTCAGAACCCTTGTAGATTTTTGAATACTAACTTCGCCACCATGCGTGAGTGCATCTCCGTCCACATCGGCCAGGCCGGTATCCAGGTCGGCAACGCCTGCTGGGAGCTCTACTGCCTGGAGCATGGCATCCAGCCTGATGGCCAGCTTATGACCGGCGAGAAGACCTGCGGAGGAGGCGATGACGCCTTCAACACCTTCTTCAGCGAGACTGGCGCTGGCAAGCACGTCCCTCGTGCTGTGTTCCTCGATCTGGAGCCGACTGTGATTGACGAGGTCAGGACCGGTGCCTACAGGCAGCTGTTCCACCCCGAGCAGCTCATCTCCGGCAAGGAGGATGCTGCAAACAACTTCGCCCGTGGTCACTACACCAGTAAGTGACTCGCCTCCTCCACGTGTCTTCGTATGTAATTCGTATTTAATATTGACAATCTATTTTTCTCAGTGATTCCATTTTTGATACTTGAATCTGTTACTAATCGTTCCTTTTATCCTACGTTTTTTTATCGCAGTTGGCAAGGAGATCGTTGACCTCTGCCTTGACCGCATCCGCAAGCTTGCTGACAACTGCACTGGTCTCCAGGGATTCCTGGTCTTCAACGCCGTTGGCGGTGGTACCGGTTCCGGTCTCGGCTCCCTCCTCCTGGAGCGCCTGTCCGTGGACTACGGCAAGAAGTCCAAGCTCGGCTTCACCGTCTACCCGTCTCCTCAGGTGTCGACCTCCGTGGTTGAGCCGTACAACTCCGTGCTCTCCACCCACTCGCTCCTGGAGCACACCGATGTCGCCGTTCTCCTCGACAACGAGGCCATCTACGACATCTGCCGCCGCTCCCTGGACATCGAGCGTCCCACCTACACGAACCTGAACCGTCTCGTGTCTCAGGTCATTTCTTCCCTGACTGCCTCCCTCCGCTTCGACGGCGCTCTGAACGTGGACGTGACTGAGTTCCAGACCAACCTGGTGCCCTACCCTCGCATCCACTTTATGCTGTCCTCCTACGCTCCGGTCATCTCCGCCGAGAAGGCTTACCACGAGCAGCTGTCCGTTGCTGAGATCACCAACAGCGCGTTCGAGCCTTCAAGCATGATGGCCAAGTGCGATCCTCGCCACGGCAAGTACATGGCCTGCTGCCTGATGTTCCGTGGAGACGTCGTCCCCAAGGATGTCAACGCCGCCGTTGCTACCATCAAGACCAAGAGGACCATCCAGTTCGTCGACTGGTGCCCTACTGGATTCAAGTGCGGTATCAACTACCAGCCTCCCACCGTGGTGCCTGGTGGCGATCTCGCCAAGGTGCAGCGTGCTGTGTGCATGATCTCCAACTCCACTTCCGTGGCAGAGGTCTTCAGCCGGATCGACCACAAGTTCGACCTCATGTACGCGAAGCGTGCATTCGTGCACTGGTATGTCGGTGAGGGCATGGAGGAGGGCGAGTTCTCTGAGGCCCGTGAGGACCTGGCTGCGCTCGAGAAGGACTACGAGGAAGTCGGTGCCGACTCCACCGAGCCCGGTGATGATGAGAACGAGGAGTACTAGATTGTATAGTTTGCACCCTTGCGCCAGACTTGTATTTTGTTTCAGTAATAAATCAACATCTGCTATTTCGCTCCATGGTGGTTGTGGTCTAACAGAAATGGCTTCGCCCACAAAACTAAGCCTGGCCCAGTTGGAGAAATGCAAACGAAACCGAATGCGGATCATAGATGTCTCAATTCTCTTCCCGTCTCTCACCCTCCGTTGGAGAATCGTGAGACTAGATAATCTGTCTCACCCTCCGTTGGAGAAACGTGAAACTGGAGAAGGCAACCTTTGACAAAAAAAAACCACCACTTTCACCAGGTAGTGGTCCAATTTTGTCAATCCAGTCATAAATTACTCCCTTGCTCACTCACCTTTCCCGTCCCTCACCCTCCCTCTTCACACTCAGTGTCTTACTTTATCTCCGCAAAAGAGGGCACAAGAATAACTTTCTATACAGATCATGTTTTTCACATAATGGACCAGCATGCCCTCCAATGCAAGCTTCTACTGTTGAGGAAAGGCATTCAGCCCAACACCTACCAAGCTGCCATCTGTTTCTATGTGCCAATTTTAGCCTTGTTTATCATCAATTTTCTTCAGGTCTTTCATATTGGTGGTCTCAACCCTGCATACAAATGGGATGACGTTAAATCTCAATTGAAATGAAGGCACCTCAATAAGGAAGAGAATAACAGGGGCAGTCAGCGGGGCTGGAACGAGTTAGTGTACTCACGTGCTTCCAAGTATGGCCAACTTCTGAACCTTAGTGACATCATCACCCGACTGGTTGCTCTCGATGAATATAGTAAGACTGCGAAGGGGAAAAACTGTAAGAGATAGCTTATAAGCATGTAACTTCGAAGGCTGAAAGTTCAGGTATTACCTTCTGACATTTTGAAACTTCACATATTTCAAAGGTGTTGCCTTCCCTTCCTGCAATGTCAAGTTACTATGATGATAAATCTACACATCACACAAAGCCCTTTAAACAATATAGATGCAAAAAAAAAGACCCTTTCTCACCTGAACCTGATCAGCTGTAAGATTGATGGTGTCACTCGGCGGTATGTCGCTCACATTGCTGCGTCATACGAGATACCTTTCTCAGACTTCGATGAAACGATAACAGATTAAGAGTGAAAACAAAAATGTCTTATAATCCTACCTGAATCCCATGTTCGGCCTGTTTGAGTAGAGCTTTATGCATTTGGGTCCTGCGAGCGCCAAGATGAAATATGAATCGTATTTGAGGGTTGAAGAAAAAACACCACGCGGTCGCGGAATTCGTACCTTCTTCTTCGGGACCCTTGATCACAATCGAATGAAGCTTGACTACTTGGTTGAATGGGACGTAGACCAGTAGTTGCTCATCGACGTCGCTCTCCAAAAACAAACCATCGTCCTCTCTATATCCCTGCGAACGTAAAAAAGAAACTCGAGGTGCGTCTCGACGTGCAACGGCTGAAGAATCACGATCCTCGAAAGTATCTGCTAAAGAAACTGACCTGCTTGATTGCATTATCTACACTCCTCCCAGGTTTTGCATTCAGGCACTCCACTGATGGCCAGTCTATGCAGTCCAATAAATCAGCCTGTCAACCGAGTAGGGAGATCATGAGACACGGAGCCGCCGAATGGACACAAGTTATAGAGGACGATAGCGAAGCAGCTTACGGACTTGGCCTTTGGCAGCCATGACGAGGAGTGATCCAGCGACGGATCTGTTGATTGCCGAGACTGAGATGTGATCGCAACAATTTTCCGAATCGTAGAACCGAAACTGGAATTCTCTGGTTGCGAATTGGATAGCTCACTTGGATCAATTCGTGGATCACGGCCATGCTCGTTTGTGGTTGACGGTATATTGCTACAAATTGCTGCATTAAGAACGAGAAGAATATATAGACGAAGAAAGAAGTGCACAGTACAGCTGATGTGTTTTGCAGGTCATTTGTTAGTGGTAGTCAGTTCGTGGTTGACATTGCTACAACACTATATCTACCACAACAGCATCATTAGTGTGCATAGAGCAAGTGAACTGGGAACGAACTTAGTGATAGAAGCCATAGATTACTACATGGACAGACCATCAAGTTGTGCCCTTCTCCATAGCAGTACCAATTGCTCCACTAGTGGACTCTGATGCAGCTCCATTTTCAGGGACCTCCGGGATGGCTTCATCAACGCGACCTGGAGCTGAAACATACAACATAGGCTCAGAAGGAAAACCATTGAAACAGAACAAAATAACGAAACGGGTTGAATCAATGACTTGCGGATGCAAAAGAGAAAGAAAAGAAGCCTCTTGGATGCTTTGTTTCTGCCTTGCTCAAATTAGCTTCGCAAAACGCACCTTCATATGACCAATCACAAGGTCCCACACCTCCAGCTCAATCTTATCCTTGCTCACTCCACCTCACATACCTGCACTCTGTTTTGCAGTCCACAGCTTAGACACCAAAGTCTGTCCCTTCGCAACCAGTGAGCTCATTCGTTTCTCCTTCTCCCACTCTTCCTTGCCACTCCCTGTCTCAATCTAGGTACACTCCACCTCACATACCTGCACTCTGTTTTGGAGTCCACAGCTTAGGCACCAAAGCTTGTCCCTTCGCAACCAGTGAGCTCATCCCTTTCTCCTTCTCCTTCTCCACCTCTCCACTCCTTGTAGGCACCACAGGAGACCCCCCACTCCCCTCTCCCTTCACCAATCCACTCTCACCACCAAGATCACCCTCCTCTCCACTCCTCCCCGCACCTCCTCCTTTCTCCTCCTCCACCTGCTGCTTCTGCTGCTTTTGCTGCTGGTGCTGCTGATGATGCCGGTGGTGGTGGTGGTGATGTGCCTGTTGTTGTTGCTGCTGCTGCTGCTCTTTGCTCTTAAGCACATGCTTGGCTCGGCCCAGCTGGTCCTTAAACAGCCCTTTAACCGACGACACAAACCCATCTCCCATGCGCTCCCCCTTGTTCCCCAGCCGAGCCAGCAGCATGGACGCCCCGCCTCCTCCCACCGGCAGGGAACCAGCACCAGAACCAGCTGCCGTGCTACCACTGCCACTGCCACTGCTGCCGCTGCTGCTACTGCCGCCACTCACGCCGGTGGTACTGCCACCAGGAGCAGCACCAGCAGCAGTAGCAGCAGTGGCAAGGACGGCAGCAGTACCAGCAGCAGCAGAGCCTGTTCCTGGTGCAAACGAGCCTTCCCCTGAACTGCTACTGGTGATGCCCGCATTGCCCATGTGTGCGCTGCTGTTGCTACCACTCGCAGCAGTGGCCGCAGCACTAGGAACAGCAGAACCTGCCTCTGACACACCCACCCTTCCCCCTCCTGCCCCCACGCTCACACCATAACTCCCGTCGCCCAACCCATCCCCTCCTCCCCCTCCTCCTCCCCCGCCTGCCCCTCCTCCTGCCCCTGCTCCTGCGGGCATTTTCCTGCCAGCCTTCCCATCCACCCCAGACCCTGATACCCCCCCTGCTGGTGCGCTTTCGTCATCACTGTCACTCTCTGCCATCTCTGCTGCTGCTGCTGCGGCCGCTGCTGCTTGCGACTTGGATGGGGTGCTTGTGGTGATGCTGCTGCTGCCTGCTTGCAAATGTGCATCCTTGAATTTGCGGCCCTGGGAATGACAAAAGGAGAAGGGAGAAAAGGAAGAAAGGCAGAAGAGGAATGGGGTGCTGGGTTTGAAACGGGTTTATGGAGCTGGAATAAATACCTTTTAACACGGCTACCTCTGCTGCTGTTGCTGCAGCCACCGCTCCCTTGCACTCCGCGAAGTGTGGTGCGGGGTGGCGCAGATAATGTGAGAAAAGAAGCTGCACCCACGGCTCTCCTACACCCCATACAGTGCAATGTGGTGCAGTGCGGTAATACGGCTTACAGTCATAACCTCATAAGCTCACATGCATGCCTGCCTGTGACCAGATCAAAGCACGCCCCGGATGACATGCCCGCAAAACTGTGAGAGCAGGGGTCGCCACAGCCTGTTTACTGTGAGAGCAGGGGTCGCCACAGCCTGTTTACTGTGAGAGCAGGGGTCGCCACAGCCTGTTTACTGTGAGAGCAGGGGTCGCCACAGCCTGTTTACTGTGAGAGCAGGGGTCGCCACAGCCTGTTTACTCCGTGCATTTTGTGCGGTAAGGCGGATCACGGTCACACACTCACACTCACCTGCATGCCCGTGACTGATTTCAGCACACCCCAGATGACATGCTTCCTAGCCACGAGAAGAGCCGGCACCACGGTCCCGTGTACTCGGTGGATTACAGTGCGGCGCAGTGCGGTGCATTGCGGCAATGCAATTTTACAGTTGATGGAGTTACCTGCATGCCTGTGACAGACTTGAGCACCCCCCAGACGACATGCTTCATAATCCGAGAGAAGAACCGGCTCCACCGCCCCGTGTACTCGGTGAGTTACTACAGTGCAGTGCAGTGTTGGAGCGGTGCAGTGCAGTAATGCGATTCTACAGTTGATCGATTCTCACCTGCATGCCTGTGACAGACTTGAGCACCCCCCATATGACATGCCTCCTTAGCCGCGAGAAGAGCCGGTGCCACGGCCCCGTGTACTCGGTGCAGTGCAGCGCAGTGCGGTGCAGCGGCGCGGTGCAATTATGCCGTTCTCACCTGCATGCCTGTGACAGACTTGAGCACGCCCCAGATGACGTGCTTCCTTAGCCGCGAGAAGAGCCGGCGCCACGGCCCCGTGTACTCGGTGCGGGCGAACGTGTCCATGAGGAGACGGAGATCCGTGACTGAGACAGGATAGCCCTCGTAAGTGATCAGCAACTCCACCTGACGGGGGGAGAGGGGAAGGGGGCAACGTTGTTAGCCCGGATCTCACGGCATCACGGCCCCGTGTACTCGGTGCGGGCAAACGTGTCCATGAGGAGACGCAGGTCAGTGACTGACGCAGGCGCAGGTCAGTGACTGAGACAGGGTACCCCTCGTATGTGATCAGCAGCTCCACCTGATGGGGGGGGTCAAGGAAGCAGGGTAGACAAGGGAAGAGGAGGTGAGGAGAGGGTTTCTCCAAGGCCAGCTCTGTTCGGACAAACGAGTTGATGCGAGGACGATACTTGGCTGACACAATCACTCATACCTGGCTGACGCAATCACCCATACCTGGCTGAACTTGAGGTTCTGAATATAAACCGCTTGTCTCCTCGTCCTCCTTTGCTCCTCCAGTGCTAGCTTCTTCCTCCTCTCCTCCTCCTTCTGCTCCATCCTCATCCTCCTCTTCTCCAGCAGCTCCCTCTTCTCCCTCTCCCTCATTGCCACCCTCTCCTCTGCCTTCAGTTTCCTCTTCTCCTCCAGCTCCTTCTTATCCCTCCCCTTCTTCTTCTCACTCGCTCCCGCCCCATCCTTCTCCCCCCCCTCTCGAATCCCCTCCAAACTCAAACCTTTCCCTGCCACAGACCCGCCCATTCCTCCACCCCTGCCTCCTCCTCTGTACCCTAGCCCAGCACTACTAGCAGCTCTACCATAGGGGTTCGCCAAGGGGAGAGGGGCCGATGAGGAGTGAGTGATTGGAGGGGCATGAAGCAGGCCAGTGGAAGGACCTGAAGAGAAAGCATCCCCACCAGCAACACCAGTGTATGCACCAGCACCAGCAGCATCACCGTCAGCAGCAGCACCGGAAATCGCAGCACCAGAAGCACCAGCAGCGGCAGCAGCAATGGGGTATCGGTCTGCTGAGAAGGCACTTGCATGGGCTCGGAATGTAGGGCTGCTCTGAGAACGGATAACCGAGTAGGAGGGCAGAGGGGAGCGCGGCGGGGGGAGGGACGGGTGGAAAGGGGAGGCAGAGGAGGGGAAGGGGGAGGTGGAGGCGGAGGGGAGCGAGGAAGGGTGGAAGGAGGAAAGCGAGGGGTTCGAAGGGAAGGAGCCGGGGGCAGAGCCGGTGGAGGTGAAACTTTCCATGGTGGACCGGCGCTGGTGGGGGAAGAAGGGGAAGATGGGAAAGGGGGGAAGGAGGTTATTGATATGCTGAGAAGGCACTTGCGTGAACTCGGAAGGTAGGGCTGCTCTGAGAGTGAATAGCCGAGTAGGAGGGCAGAGGGGAGCGTGGTGGGGGGAGGGACGGGTGGAAGGGCGAGGCTGAGGCGGGGAAAGGGGAGGTGGAGGCGGAGGGGAGGGAGGAAGGGAGGAAGGGAGGAAGGGAGAAAGGGAGGAAGGGAGGAAGGGAGGAAGGGAGAAAGGGAGGAAGGGAGGAAGGCAGGAAGGGAGGAAGGGAGGAAGGGAGGAAGGGAGGAAGGGAGGAAAGGAGGAAGGGAGGAAGGCAGGAAGGGAGGAAGGCAGGAAGGGAGGAAGGGAGGAAAGGAGGAAGGGAGGAAGGCAGGAAGGGAGGAAGGGAGGAAAGGAGGAAGGGAGGAAGGCAGGAAGGGAGGAAGGGAGGAAGGGAGGAAGGGAGAAAGGGAGGAAGGGAGGAAGGGAGGAAGGGAGGAAGGGAGGAAGGGAGGAAGGGAGGAAGGGAGGAAGGGAGGAAAGGAGGAAGGGAGGAAGGCAGGAAGGGAGGAAGGCAGGAAGGGAGGAAGGGAGGAAAGGAGGAAGGGAGGAAGGCAGGAAGGGAGGAAGGGAGGAAAGGAGGAAGGGAGGAAGGCAGGAAGGGAGGAAGGGAGGAAGGGAGGAAGGGAGGAAAGGAGGAAGGGAGGAAGGGAGGAAGGGAGGAAGGGAGGAGCCGGGGGCAGAGCCGGTGGAGGTGAAGCTGTCCGTTGTGGACCGGCGCTGGTGGGGAGGTGGGGAGGGAGGGAAAGTAGGGACGGGAGAGAGGCGGTTGGGACATTGGGGATCAAGGAGGAGAAGCAGGGGAGGGAGCCGGGGGCAGAGCCGGTGGGGTGAAGCTGTCCGTTGTGGACCGGGGCTGGTGGGGGGAAGGGGGGAAAGGAGGCAAAAGAGGGAGGAGGTAGAGGTGGCTGAGAGCAGAGCCGGTGGAGGTGAAGCTGTCCGTGGTAGCCCGGCGCGGGTGAGGTGGGGGCGGGGGAAACAGGAGGGAGGGAAAGTAGAGAGGGGCTAGATGTGGCTCATTGGGATCGAGGGAGGGGAGGGATGGGAGCGAGGGAGGTGCGGAGCGAGCCGGGGGCAGAGCCGGTGGAGTTGATGATGTCAGTGGTAGACCGACGAGGGGGGGAAGGGGAGAAGGAGGGGAAGCAGGGAGGGAATAGAGGTGGCTGAGAAATTGGGATCAAGGGCAGGGAGGGAGGGGAGGAGAAAGGGGAAAAAGGAGGGGAAGGTGGGGAAGGGGGGTTAAGTGATGAAGGGGAAGGGGGGGGGGGGGGGGAGGGGAACGGGTATGAAAATAGGGAGGGGATAGAGGAAGGGAGGATGCCCCCCTCTCGAGTTGACTTTTGAGTCGACTCAAAAATAGGGAGGGGATAGAGGAAGGGAGGATGCCCCCCTCTCGAGTTGACTTTTGAGTCGACTCAAAAATAGGGAGGGGATAGAGGAAGGGAGGATGCCCCCCTCTCTGGTACGAGGTTGAAGAAGATTAATAGAATTCTGAGGAAAGAACGAAGAATTTGGCCGAGAACCAAACGAGTTTCGACCGCAGGAAGCCGCAGATTGCGAGGAGAAAAAAACACGGAGAAGGGAGAAGAACTTAAGTCTGGAGACCAGGAAACGTTAGGTAAGCAACGAACAGAGAGATAGGAGGGGGTTGGGGTGGGTGGGGGCGGGATGCATAGTATAAAGGCGTCTAGATCGAGGACAAAAGAGAGAGCGAGAGAGCGAGAGCGAGACTTGAAGGTCTCAGATTCGGGTGACTTCGACGAATTACGATCTCTTCAGCCACCAGAGCAGAGGGCAGAGCCGAAGACTGACACTTCAATAGACGAATTCACTCGATCCCCTTCCTCCCCCACGCCCCCACACCCGAGTGTTGAGACGTCTCAAACCCTGAAAAACTCACAGTCTCTTCAACCACCAGAGCAGAGGGCGGAGCCGACGACTGGTGCTTCAAGCGAGGCTCCTCCGCGCCCTTCCTCCCCCCTCCTCCACCACCCGCGGCCCCAACAGTCGCTGACGCGGGGAAACTTCCTCCAGCAGCACCTCCAGCAGCGGAAGAGGAGGAGAGGGTGTCAGGAGCAGTGGAGCGGCGCTTGTCCTTCTGCTTCACTGGGAGCGCCACAGGACCCCACATCTCCTGGGGGATGACAAGGTGGGGGGAGTGCGGGGGGGGGGGGGGGGGGGGGGGGGGAGGAGGGAGGGGGGGGTGTGGGCGTGTGGGGGGAAGACAGGGGGAAGAGGAAGGGGGGGTTGAGTTGGCTAAATAATCGAGTTCCCCCGCCAGCACTGCTGGTAGCGGCAGAGGAGGGGGAGGTGCCGAGAGCAGTGGAGCGGCGCTTGTCCTTCTGCTTCACTGGGAGAGCCACAGGACCCCACATCTCCTGGGGGATGATGAAGCAGGAAAGGAGGGGGGAAGGGAAATAGGGAAGAAAAGACACATGTGCAGGAGATAGGAAAGACAGAGGAAAGAAGAGGAAATGGCCCTATTTCCTTCCTCTGTCTTTTCTCCCGGTGCAAAGAAAAGACAGAGGAAAGAAGAGGAAATGGCCCTATTTCTTTCCTCTGTCTTTTCTCCCGGTGCAAAGAAAAGACAGAGGAAAGAAGAGGAAATGGCCCTATTTCTTTCCTCTGTCTTTTCTCCCGGTGCAAAGAAAAGACAGAGGAAAGAAGAGGAAATGGCCCTATTTCTTTCCTCTGTCTTTTCTCCCGGTGCAAAGAAAAGACAGAGGAAAGAAGGGGAGGTTTGAATTGACTCAAGTATCAAGATCCCACCAGCGCTGCCAAGAGCAGTAGAGGTACAGAAGAGGAAATGGCACCGGGAGAAGTAGAGGTACAGAAGAGGAAATGGCACCGGGAGAAGTAGAGGTACAGAAGAGGAGGTGGTGTCGGGAGCAGTAGAGTGCCGCTTGCCCTTCTGCTTCACTAGGAGGGCTACGGGCCCCATGCCTCAAACAGTAACATGCGGTATCAAGTGGTTTCGAGAGGTTTTATGAGGTATCACGAGGTACCAAGGGGTATAAGGAGCTGACCTGCTTCCTGAGCTGCTCGTCTGGCTCCTTGGCAAAGAGGTAGTCCCACACCACTCGGTACATCTGCTCTGTCAGGTAGATGCGCAGCGGGTAGATCTCCACCTTCTCACACACACACAGGCATGGACACACGCACACATGTTCACATGGTGAGTTAAAGTGTGATGCATCATGTCCCATACCACTCGGTACATCTGCTCTGTCAGGTAGATGCGCAGCGGGTAGATCTCCACCTTCTCACACACACACAGGCACGGACACACGCACACATGTTCACATGGTGAGTTAAAGTGTGATGCATCATGTCCCACACCACTCGGTACATCTGCTCTGTCAGGTAGATGCGCAGCGGGTATACCTCCACCTTCATGCACACGTATGCATGCATACACATGCTCAATCAGTGAGCAAAGTATTACTTCATTGTAATGCCTCCCAGCAGCCCACATCTCCTCTGGCAGGTAGATGCGCAGTGGTGGGGGGGAGACCTCGTCGGCAGAGGCAGAGAGAAATAGCAACAGGCTGTAAATTCCATGCAGAACTGTTGGCGTTTCATCTCACCTGGGGCGTTTCATCTCACTCGGTCGTTTCATTTCATCTCACCTCAGTCGTTTCATTTCATCTCACCTCAGTCGTTTCATTTCATCTCACCTCAGTCGTTTCATTTCATCTCACCTCAGTCGTTTCATTTCATCTCACCTCAGTCGTTTCATTTCATCTCACTCAAGCGTTTCGTTTCATCTCACTCAGGCGTTTCATTTCATCTCACTCAGTCGTTTCATGTCATCTCACCTCAAAGGTTTCAATGGGTGAGACGCCGTCCACAGGCTTGCCTATCTTGCCTACCACTCGAATCATGGCATGTCTGTGACATGCAGGGCACGTGGGGGGAGGATGAGGGGAAGCGGGAGAAGGAACAGGAATCGTGTCATGGGTGCAACATGCGAGGATGCGCGAGGAGGGGGGAATTGAAAGAGACACCGCCCACAGGCTTGCCTATCTTGCCCACCACTCGAATCATGGCATGTCTGTGACATGCAGGGCACGTGGGGGGAGGATGAGGGAAGACGGAGGATTGCAGATCACAGAAGATGGGGGCGAAGAGGAGGAAGGAGGGGACAACTCAAATCTTGGCATGGCTACAGCACGCAGGGCATGGGAGGGAAATGGGAGAAGGGGGGACAAGAGGAGGACGGCATGGGGACTGACGGGGAAAGGAACCACAACCAAATTCCTAAATGAGGTTCTGAGAACGGACATTTGAGATATATGGCGTGTGTGTGGCGTGTGGGGGGTGGGGGGGAATGCGGAGACTGAAGGCGGCCACTGACCAAGACCAGTCAGGAGGAGGGTTCCAGGCGGAGAGGACGAGGCGTGACTTGGCTTATAGGAGTGGGGGACGGGAAACGAAATGTGGGCAGTGAAAGGGGGGGGACTGTAGGGCAGGCACTGACCGAGACCAGTCGGGAGGGGGGTTCCAGGCGGAGAGGACGAGGCGTGACTTGGCTTGAGGTAGGCAGTTGCGCACTGCAATGGACTTGATGACAAAGCACGCCATGCCTATGTCGTTGAAATCCCTGTCCACATTCAGGAGCTGATGTGGTGGTGGAGGGCAGATGGTGAGTGGGGAAAGCAGTGTGGGAAAGGGGGGACGTGGATGGGGAAGTGAGAAAGGGCGGAGACCAAATAGTTGCACTGCAATGGACTTGATGACAAAGCACGCCATGCCTATGTCGTTGAAATCCCTGTCCACATTCAGGAGCTGATGTGGTGGTGGAGGGCAGATGGTGAGTGGGGAAAGCAGTGTGGGAAAGGGGGGACGTGGATGGGGAAGTGAGAAAGGGCGGAGACCAAATAGTTGCACTGCAATGGACTTGATGACAAAGCACGCCATGCCTATGTCATTGAAGTCCCTGTCCACGTTCAGGAGCTGATGTGGCGCATAAGGGGAAGGAAGGAGGAAAAGAGAGGTGAGCGACACAAAGGAGTTGCTAAAAAAAAAAAAAAACAAAACAAAAACAAAACTGCCCCAGCCAGCCACTCACCATGTGTTGGATCTCTGCCTCTGCAAACACATGCCCATCACTCAGTGCCCAACCCCATCCCCTCCATCACCCTCTACCCCCCTCCCCCACCCTTGTCAGCCACTCACCATGTGTTGGATCTCAGCCTCTGCAAACACATGCCCATCACTCAGCAGCGACCACGCCGCCCTGTCGATGGTCCATATCACAGCCACTGCCGACGACGGCTGCTTCTGCTTCTCCCGCTGCTGCCGCGCCGCCCGCCCCACCGCCGCTCGGCACTCCTGCCTCGCCGCCCGCAGGTAAGCTCTGCGCACGAGGTACTCTCCTTTGAGAGCAGCGACCTGTGGATGAGAGGGTGATGAAGGGAAAATCAAGAAGTAGACGTTTCAGAAACTAAATGTTCCCGAAGCTGCGAGCAAGTCAGTCAGTCAGCTCTGCACACGGGACACTCTCCCTTGTTAACCGTTTTAAATGCCTCCACCAAGTCAGTCAGTCAGCTCTGCACACAGGACACTCTCCCTTGTTAACCGTTTTAAATTCCTCCACCAAGTCAGTCAGTCAGCTCTGCACACGGGACACTCTCCCTTGTTAACCGTTTTAAATTCCTCCACCAAGTCAGTCAGTCAGCTCTGCACACGGGACACTCTCCCTTGTTAACCGTTTTAAATGCCTCCACCAAGTCAGTCAGTCAGCTCTGCACACGGGACACTCTACCTTGTTTACCGTTTTAAATGCCTCCACCAAGTCAGTCAGTCAGCTCTGCACACGGGACACTCTCCCTTGTTAACCGTTTTAAATGCCTCCACCAAGTCAGTCAGTCAGCTCTGCACACGGGACACTCTCCCTTGTTAACCATTTTAAATGCCTCCACCAAGTCAGTCAGTCAGCTCTGCACACGGGACACTCTCCCTTGTTAACCGTTTTAAATGCCTCCACCAAGTCAGTCAGTCAGCTCTGCACACGGGACACTCTCCCTTGTTAACCGTTTTAAATGCCTCCACCAAGTCAGTCAGTCAGCTCTGCACACGGAACACTCTCCCTTGTTAACCGTTTTAAATGCCTCCACCAAGTCAGTCAGTCAGCTCTGCACACGGAACACTCTCCCTTGTTAACCGTTTTAAATGCCTCCACCAAGTCAGCTCTATGCACGAAATGCTCTTCCCGTCAATGCGGCACCCAGCGCAGGGGGGAGGGAAAGAAAGGGAGGTTATGAAGATCGGGAGGGCCAAGTTGGAGAAAGGGCAACGGTTTGCAAGGCACAACAGGCATGCTTGGTTAAGCATGAACACCAACGACACACTCACCTCACCAGGGGAACAACACACTCACCAGCACCATGGGTGGCGCGAGCACAAGGCTCTTGTGGGTCGGATCCTCCTCCTCCAGAACCAGCCGCCCCGACCCAAACACACCCGCATTCCCCCCTCCGCCTCCTCCCCCTCCGTCCCAGCTGCCAGCAAACGCCAGCTCAGGCCCGTGAACCCTGGAGGCTGTGAGAGCGGCAGTGCTCCAGAGGTCCTGGATGAGCGCGTTCACTGCCCGCTGCGCCACCTCTGCCTTCACCTCTGCCGCCTCCACCTCGGGAACTCCGTCGGGGCGCGACCCATACTCCTCCTCTTCCTCCTCGTCCTCATCTGCATCGGGCCGCACTTTTGGCTTCTTCAACCTGGTTGAAGGGGAGAGGGGGAGGGGGGGTTGGAAGGAAGGGAACACAAGTGTCAAGACCCGTACTCCTCTCCTTCAGGAGTCCTGGATGAGCCAGCTCAGGCCCGTGAACCCTGGAGGCGGTGAGAGCGGCAGTGCTCCAGAGGTCCTGGATGAGCGCGTTCACTGCCCGCTGCGCCACCTCTGCTTTCACCTCTGCCGCCTCCACCTCGGGAACTCCATCGGGGTGGGATCCGTATTCTTCTTCCTTTGAGTCGACTCAAAAGCACCTCGGGAACTCCATCGGGGTGGGATCCGTATTCTTCTTCCTCCTCCTCATCCTCGTCTGCATCGGGCCGTACTTTTGGCTTTTTCAGCCTGGATTGGAGGGGCGAGGGGGTTGAGGGGACGGGAAGGAGAAGCTGTTTCCGGGAGGAGAGGAGAGTGCACCGTGGGTGCATGTGAAGGGAGGTCACGTGTTTGGAAGTGAAAGGAGCTTGGAACGTGGGGGGGTTTGAAACTCACTTGGGCGTGGGCGCGAGCGCAAGGTTCATGATGATGTCGGTGAGCGTCTGGAACTGCTGGGATGTCATGGTGGCCGTGATGTTGGGCACACTGAAACTCACTTCCTTCAATGGCTTCTTCTGCAACAGACACACAAGCGCGCGGGTAGGCAGAGGAGAGGGCAGATGGGATAGGGGAAAGGAGAGGGCCGTGATGTTGGGCACACTGAAACTCACTTCCTTCAGCGGCTTCTTCTGCAATGACAATGCAGAGGCAATAGGAACAAATGATAGTGAAGGAGAGGAAGAGGAAGCTGGGGAGAAGGAGAGACAAAGAAAGCGAGAAAGGGAGAGGTTACACTGCACGTGCACGGTACATGGTGCACAGCATAGTGTTTCTCTTATTTTTGAGAATTCTCAAAAATCACTCACAGCACAGTGTTTCTGTTATGATCCTCGTGTTCTGGGCGTCCTCTGCGATCTGTTCAATCTGGCTCTCTAATACGCTCTAGCTCACAAGCTTTCCAGGCTCTCTCATTTTTCATTTCATGGAGTTTGCTTCGTCGTCCTAAGACACAGTTTAAGTTGATGGACATAAAGACCTCCGCAGCCCACCTGTTTACCACTGACAGCACAGCACAGTGTTTCTGTTATGATCCTCATGTTCTGGGCGTCCTGTGCACATTCCTCACCTGGGCTCCCTGAGACCCGATCTCGTATCGTGTATGCTCCAGGTACATGGTGCAGAAGGTGCATGGTGCAGAAGGTACATGGTGCAGAAGGTACATGGTGTTTTGTGCCCATCATTATTGTGTGTCCCTCACCTGGGCACCCTGAGACCCGCTCTTGTATCGGGTATACTCCAGGTTCATGGTGCACGGCAGTACATGGTGCACGGCAGTACATGGTGCATGGCAGTACATGGTGCATGGCAGTACATGGTGCATGGCAGTACATGGTGTGGTGCATGAATACATACATACCACCTACCTCCCTTCCCCTCCACCTCCATGCCATCCGGTTCCTCACCTGGGCACCCTGGGACCCGCTCTTGTATCGGGTATACTCCAGGTACATGGTGCACGGCTGAAACACCTGCTTCAACAGGTGACTGCCCTCCATATCCCCGTTACTAGCAGCCCCTCTTCCCAGCAACAGCACTCCGCTTGGCCCAGCACCAGCAGCACCATCGCCATCGTCACCGTCACCATCCCCACTTGTGGCACCACCAGCAAGATTCCCTTCCGACCCTCTCCCAACCATCCCCCCACCCCTCCTCCTCCTCCCCTTCCCACCACTCCCTCCTCCCCTCCTCCCGGCACCCATGGGCACGTGGGCCAACCACTGCACGCCAGCTGTCAGGTCCACGTCAGTGGGTGCCACGTAGGCCTGCACGTTCTCCAGCATGACAGCCAGCTCGTGCCTGTTCCACTGAATCGTGTCCAGGTCATCACCGAATCCTGGCATGATGTCTGACGTGTGCGGTGGTGGAGGGGCTAGGGATGGCACTGCTGCTGCTAGTGGTGATGCTGCTGCTGCTGCTGCTGCCCCTGCTCCTGCTCCTGCTCCTCCTGACCCTGACCCTGTCCCTACTCCCACCCCGGTCCCTTCCCCTTTGCCTGCTACTGCTGGTGCTGCCACTGGCTCTGCTGCCGCTCCTGCTCCCGCTGCTCCTGCAACCCCAGCTGCAACTGACCCAGGTACAAGGGGAGTGGAGTCTGCAGTACTAAGGGCGGAGAGAGGAAGAGCGGAGGAGGATAAGGTAGACGCGTTGGAGGTGGAGGAAGGGGAGGGAGGCACAGTGGAGGGAGGGGTGCTGGTCAGGGACAGAGCAGGCGGAGCAGAGGAGGAGATGGAGGAGGAGGGGGGAGGAGGAGGAGGCGCAGAGGAGGTAGATGCGGAGGAGGAAGGAGGAGGAGGAGGAGGAGGAGGAGGAGGGGGAGTGATGACAGCGAGGGCTTCAATGGCCCCGGCAAAGACTGAGTGGAAGGTGCGGGCGAGCACACGCCCGCTCTTGGCGGCGAGGAGGAAACGACCCTGAAGAAGGGATAGAGGAGGGGTAGGGGAAGGGAAGGATGAAGGGAGTGATGACAGCGAGGGCTTCGATGGCCCCGGCAAAGACTGAGTGGAAGGTGCGGGCGAGCACACGCCCGCTCTTGGCGGCGAGGAGGAAACGACCCTGAAGAAGGGATAGAGGAGGGGTAGGGGAAGGGAAGGATGAAGGGAGTGATGACAGCGAGGGCTTCAATGGCCCCGGCAAAGACTGAGTGGAAGGTGCGGGCGAGCACACGCCCGCTCTTGGCAGCGAGGAGGAAACGACCCTGAAGAAGGGATAGAGGAGGGGTAGGGGAAGGGAAGGATGAAGGGAGTGATGACAGCGAGGGCTTCGATGGCCCCGGCAAAGACTGAGTGGAAGGTGCGGGCGAGCACACGCCCGCTCTTGGCAGCTAGAAGGAACTGACCCTGGGTGAGGTGGGGGAAGGGGGGGATGGGAGAGGAAAGTGGAGACAGAAGAAGGGTGGAGTGGTGCGTTGCAGAGGGCTGAAGGAAGAGCAAGCACACACGCAGCAAGGAGGAGCCTACTGAACTTGAAGGGAAAAATGAGGGCATGAGGGAAACTACAGAGGCTATTCACGCCGCACAGCTCACAAACGCGTTTCCCAACTCACGTGCGCATCTTCAGAGTGGAAGTTGAACTGCGGCCGGATGATGTTGATCATGTAGTTCAACGTGCAGTTGTCGTCCTCTCCTTCCATCCCCATACCCGCCGCCCCATCGCCCACCCCTCCCTTTCCCCCTCCTCCACCACCGGCCGCACCACCACCACCAACAACACCATCCCCCAGTCCTGCCTGTCCACCCTCCGCCACTCCCGTCGCTTTTGCTTGTGCTTCTGCCGCTGCTGCCGCCGCAGCAGCAGCCTCAGCAGCAGCAGCGGCCTTGGCTGCCTCCTTCTCCGCCTTCTCCGCTGCGATCTGAGCCGCCACTTGCGCCGCCACCAGCGCCGCCCCCACCACCGGCGGCGGGACTCCCCCGGCCGCCTCCAGCCTCTTGCGTTGCGCCAGCTGGCGCGACGGGGACGGCTTGTCTGACGCGAATCCGCGCTGGAATTCGGCCATCCAGGCCCACAGAGCATCTCTGTTGCGGATGGTGAGGAGGAGCCTTAGCCCAGGAACCAGGATCCTCCAGCAGTCGTCTGCTACTAGTAGAGCAAGGATGTCAGCTAGATCTTGCTCCGCCTCCCCCTCGTCCTCCCCCCTCCCCACCCTCCTCCTCCTCATCCTCCTCCTCCTCGCGCTCGTCCCCGTCACTCTCCAAGCCCTCCCCCTCCGCTTCAAAATCGCTAATCCGGCTGCTGCTGCCTTTCTTACTCCCCTCGCCGTCTCCTCCTGCTCCCCTTCCTTCCGCCTCCCCACCACCACCTGCTGCCCCCATAAGCCATCCCTTCCATCCCTCCCCCACGCGCCACTTTTGAATCTGCTCCGCGTTCCCGTCAGGCGCCTGCTTGCGAATCATAACCCCATCACACGACATCAGGAAACTCTGATCGGCCTTTGTCCATCCTTCCCCCACAATTCCTCCCCTTGCGCTGCTGCTGCTCCTGAATCCCGCTGCCCCCGTGCCCCTCCCCCCACCTCCTGCTTCCTCTCCCAGTCCCCCTCCCCCTCCTCCCCCCCCCAACCCCTCTCCTCCCCCCCATCCGAAGCTGCTGCCTCCGGTGCTTCGTCTGGTAACCATTCCTTTCCCCAGTATGCTCCTTTCCTCCGCCACCCCTCCCAACATCCCCTCCCTTCCACCCCCACCCACCTCATCCTCCCCCATCAACAACTCCAGAATCTTCTCAGAAGCTTCATCCCCTTCCAAAACCTGCCCACTCGTCACACCAACACCCCCTCTCCCCACTCCCCCTCCCCCACCTCCACCCTCCATCCCCCCACTCCCCTCCTGCCCATCCCCTTCCCCCTCCCCACTCCCAGGCTCCTCCACTACAATCCTCATCCGCACAACATCCAGCCCCGTATGCGCCGTCTTAAAGCTCGGCCTTCTTGACTGCCCATCCCAAGCCTTCAAATTCCTGCTATAACACAACTCATACACCAACTCATCGACCAGCAACACCAGCCCTTCCGCCGGGTCCGGGTTCCGGAACGAATAATGCCGCCACGCGCCCGGGGCGATATGCAGGCGGATGAGCATCTCAGACATGACCTGGCTGAGGTTCAGGTTGCCGGATTTGGGCTTCCTTGCGATGCCGTAGCGGCGGCGGCCGAAGTTCCGGAGCTTGTGGGAGGAGAGGTACATGAGGTTGTAGAATTTGAACAGCCACTTGATGTCGTGGCTCGCCAGGTTGAACGTCGGCTGGCGCACTCCCCCCCCGGCAACCTCAAACCCTCCTCCCATCCCTCCGATTCCTCCGCTTCCTCCGATTCCTCCGCTTGCTCCGATTCCTACTCCTCCGATGCGTGGGCTGTCAAAACCGCCAGCCACGGCAGCACCTGCACCCCCACCTCCTCCTCCCCCTCCTTCTCCTCCGCCTTCCCAATTCCCTGCTCCCACATGCCAAGGCATACTGCCTGACGACGTTCTCCTGTGTCTCTGAGATTGCAAACGCCCACTTGCACTCAAACCCGCTCCTGACGCTGACTCAGCCCCGGGTTCGAATCCAACGGACGAGAACGACCCGCCGCTGGTGCTGGACGCCGATCGGTGGGCAGTTGAGCTGCCCGAGAAGAAATCTTCGTCGTCGGGGAAGCGGTGGGAGGAGGAGGAGGCCCGGGAGAACGAAGCAGAAGACAGAGAGGTGGAGCGCGGTATGGCTGGTCCTGCCGGTGATCCATGTGCGTGCCTGCCCAAAACACCAGATGCACCCGCAGCAGCAGCATCGCTGCCAGCACTAGCAGCGCCAGCAGCAGCAGCAGTGGGGCCACCAGGCCGGAGATCAATGGCACTGCTGCTCCGACCCACCCTCACCCCACCACCACCCACACTGCTCTTCCCTCTCTTCTCCCCTTTGCTGTGAATCACCCTCGCCTGCTCCTTGGACAAAAACCGCCAGTCCCACCGGAAGTTCATCCCCACAGACCGGAACGGATCGTACAGAACCGTTCTCATGCCTGGTTCTGTTGGCAGCGCGTGCAAATAATGTGCACAGGCGTCCCCATTCCCCTCCACCTCCCAGTCTATCCTTATATCCAGCTCCAAAACCGGCGTCTCTATAGCAGGTGCGCGGAGGAACTCGTCTCCCTCCCACCGCCCGCCCTCCCCTCCCCCGCCTGTCGCCCTCCCGATCCCGCCCGATCCCCCCTCTCTCACCCACGCGTCTGCCTTCCGTAACGGATCCTCTGGCACGCTCGACATGTGCGCTTCTAAGTCCTCCCCTCGCACAAACATCTGCCCCTTCTTCTGGGAAAACACCAGCCGAGACCCCACCAGCGTGAGCATGTCGTTCTGCTCGTACGGGTCCACAGTAGCCTGAAGAAACACCTGATAGTCCAGAGCCACAATATGCGCATGCCCGTGCATGTAGTACCTCATAATATCCCACCACGGCAAGCTTCTTTCCACCGGAGGCCACACAGGAGGAGCCGCAGCAGGGTCCGCCACAGCTGCAAGAGCAGGCACAGAGAGGGTGTTCTGCACCGGAGGGTACGGTACCCCAGCTGCTGCTGCCGCCGCCGCTGCCGCCGCAATCACCTTCGCCTGCCTCGTCGTCGGCTGGCCCTTCCGCACGGCGCAGGTTACCGCGTAACTCACATCGGCAAACAGCATCGGCTCATACCCCACCCCGTACGACAGATCGGCCGATTCAAACTCTGCTTCAGCCTCATAGTAGAACTTCAACGGAGGGGTGGCTCCGCTGGCCGTTCGTAACACGGTAACCCGGCGGAACCTTCCCAGAAACACGTCGGACTTCTGCTGCGGCTGGTGCACTGTGGCCTGTGCTGCCATGATCGCCGTTGCACGAAGCTTCCCGGAAGCTGCCGCAAACAGCGGAAGCGGGAAGTCCCTAAGGGAGAATTTCAGCCCCACACACGAAAGCTCCACTCCACGCCCGTACATCCTAGCAATGGGTACCTTATCCGAAGCAGGAACAGTGTCTAGCTCGCAAATTTTCGCCACCATGCCCTGCCGCCCGTGCTCTATTGGTATCAGAGCCAGCTCGGCAAACGCAAACCACAAGCTAGCAGCGCTTCTTCGTGTGGTGGTCATCGGAAACTTTTCATTCAGCCCGATTTTATACGCCCAGCCTGTGCCTGGATCCTTCACAAGATTTTCGCACGCTGCTTTGTACGCCAGGCATGCCCGCCGGTGCAGATCCTCCCGGGCAGCCTGGAAACGTTCTCGGAAAAGTTTCAGCCTGACCGCAGTACCCTTGGCTTCACCTGTAGGCCCAACAGCCTCTGCTGCAGCCGCTGCTGCCGCCAACACTTGCGGACTCACCCCTTTTCCCCCTCCTCCCCCTCCTAACCCCCCTCCTCCTCCCCCTCCTCTCACATCTTGCGGTGACTTCTCCCCATCCCCGCCCCCTGCTACCTCCCCAACAAGCCCCTCTAAACCAGCGGGAAAAATATCCCCGCCCATCAGATTCTCCTCCTCTTCCTCCAGCAATCTCTCCCTCACCAACTTATCTTCCACCAGTGGTCTCATAAGCTGTCTCCTCTCGTCCAGCCACCCTTGAATCGGCTCCTCCTCCACCTCTAAAAGCAGCTCCTTCACTATAAGGCGTATGAGGCCTTTCTGACGCGCAGGGGGCTTCTTGGGTTTTGGGGCGGAGGAGGAGGAGGGCACGGTGGGGGGGATCACGCCTGCTGCTTCTGCTTCTGCAGCGGCTGCAGCTGTTGCTGCGGCCAGTGCTGCTGGATCGCCCACTGCTGCTGCCGGGCCTGACCCAGCAGCAGCAGCAGCAGCAGTGGCGGCGGCGGCGGCTGCAGCTGTTGCAGCAGCCAGGGCTGGTGAATTGGCCGCTGCTGCTGCCGGGCCTGAACCAGCAGCAGCAGCGGCTCTCCCCTGGCGCAAGCGGCGGGCGTGGCGGGCCATCTTCTGAGCGGCAGTGACAGCCTTGAGCACGCGCATCATGTCCTCTGCACTGTCCTCCACGGCCCGCACCTCAAACTGGAACGGCAGGATGAAGCGCGATGAGCTCGCCTGAATCACATAGTCCCACACTGTGGGTGTGCTCGTTCCTGGCTGTGGTGGGGGGGCGGAGGGAGGTGCGACCACCACTGGGGTTGCACTCGGCACACGAGAAACCTGGCGGGAGGTGGCGGGAGCGAGGGGAGTGGGAGAGTGGGAAAGGAAGGGGGGGTAACAGTTGAATTGACACATGTCATGTCTTCAGAGAACAGCTCCCTACCTTCCACACACATCTCGATTCTTTAGTCAGCTAAAAAATCGACATCATGTCCTCAGAAAAAAATACCTTGGCCTCCGCGCATATTTATATAATCCTTGAGGCGCCCAGACGAACAACGCACCTGGAACGACTCGCTGAAGAGCATAGCAGCCCCGTTGATGCGCAATGCCAGCCCCTCTAGCAGCGCCCCCATGGCCGCGTCCTCCGAGAACAGCCCCCTGGCCTCCACACGCATCTCTGTCTGTCTCAGTACCATCTTTGAGGCACCTACACACTGTGTTGGAGGCACCTCATCACTCACCTGGAACGACTCGCTGAAGAGCATAGCAGCCCCGTTGATGCGCAACGCCAGCCCCTCTAGCAGCGCCCCCATGGCCGCGTCCTCCGAGAACAGCCCCCTGGCCTCCACACGCATCTCTGTCTCAGTACCATCTTTGAGGCACCTACACACAGTGTTGGAAGCACCTCATCACTCACCTGGAACGACTCGCTGAAGAGCATAGCAGCCCCGTTGATGCGCAACGCCAGCCCCTCTAGCAGCGCCCCCATGGCCGCGTCCTCCGAGAACAGCCCCCTGGCCTCCACACGCATCTCTGTCTCAGCACCATCTTTGAGGCACCTACACACTGTGCTGGAGGCACCTCATCACTCACCTGGAACGACTCGCTGAAGAGCATAGCAGCCCCGTTGATGCGCAACGCCAGCCCCTCTAGCAGCGCCCCCATGGCCGCGTCCTCCGAGAACAGCCCCCTGGCCTCCACACGCATCTCTGTCTCAGCACCATCTTTGAGGCACCTACACACTGTGTTGGAGGCACCTCATCACTCACCTGGAACGACTCGCTGAAGAGCATAGCAGCTCCGTTGATGCGCAACGCCAGCCCCTCTAGCAGCGCTCCCATGGCCGCGTCCTCAGAGAAGAGCCCCCTGGCCTCCACACGCATCTCTGTCTCGTCGCCTATCCCCACCGTCACCACCACCCCCGTCACATCCACTGCCACCAACGGCTTCGGCTTCTTTGCCTTCACCGGCTTGCTCGGGTTTGTTGGAGCTGCGGAATCACCAGCTGCCGGCGCTGCTGCTACTCCTGCTCCTGCTGCTGATGCAGCAGCAGCGGTATCCGATGCTGATGCTGATGATGATGATGCCCCTGCGCCACCGACACAGCTGTCGCTGTTCCTGCGCCAGATACCACCCCCGGCACCACTCCCAGCCGCTCCTAACCCCGCCACACCACCCTCGATCACAACAGCAGCACCGGCGGACTTGGCAACACCAAAGGAGCGCCTGCCCTCTCCACTGGGTCCCATCGGCGGCAAAGATGCTGCCGTGCTGCTGCTGTGCCTGGGTGTGGTGCTATTGCTGCTGCTGCCGGCTGCTACTGCTGCTGCTGATACACCCAGCTGAGTCCCACCTTCTCTCCCGAGCAGACTTGCATCCAGACTGCCGCCTGCTGTGACTAGCTTCCCTGCACCCCCTCCCTCTCCCTTCCCTCCCTTCTGCTCCTGCACCCGCTGCTGCATCTCCTGCTCTGCCTTCTTCTCTGCCTTTCCCTCTGCCTGTTGCTGATTCACTCGTGCCTGCTCCGTCTCCCCTTCTCTCTCTGTCATCGCCCGCCATTGCTCTATAACTGCCTTTCTCCGACCCGTCACCTCCTTCATCTCCTCCCCTACCTCCACCACCAGAACCTGCACGTCCGGCTCCCACCGAGCCTCCAGCCCAGCTGCGGTAACCACCACCCGGTCCGGCGCCGGACCTCCGTCCGGACATAGCAACCCTTTCCGAAGCAACACATGGGCCATTTGTAACCGGCACACCACCACCTCTGCAATCACCCCATCCTGCCTCCTCCCACCCTCCCTCCCCACCCGCTTCTCCTCCCCTCCCTTCCCTTCCAAACCCCCCGTCCCAAACCCAACTCCACCGCTCCGCACCGCACCCCCCACCTCCCCACCCTCCCCTTTCTCCACATACACCACTCTCGCCCCTTCCACCCCAACCTGCACCTGCTTTCCCCCGACTCTCCCTCCAACCGACACCGAAGGCAGCTCCACCCGCAACGCACACACCACAGAAGCATGCTCAACCCCCTCCCACTCAAACCTCCTAACCTTCGCCACTCGAAGGTCTCCCTCAGGGGTGAGGTGGAAAATTCTCTCCCCCAGCTCATCCCCAAAGTGAACTTTCTTTGGGTCTAGCACGTCAGCTTCTACCACCGTGCAGGGACACTCCAGCTCCAGGAGCGAGTCGTCCAGGACTATCCGAAACGCCTTCACACCTTTGCCCTTGCCCTTCCCCTTGCCCTTACTCTTGCTCTTCCCTTTGCCTGGCTCTTTACCAGCAGCAGTCGCGTCAGCCCCACCCGCAGCAGCACCTACTGTGCTCGCACCTCTCTTCTTCTCCCTCTTGACAAACTGCTCTGCTCGGGTGATTTCCTCTGCAATCGATCCCAGGAGGGGGAAGGAGGGGCGCAGTCTGAGTCCCCGCACCCCCACCTGCACCATCATTACTTTGTCTAGTATCCCCCCTCCCCCGCTCCCCCCACTCCCCCCTCCACTGACCACTCTATACGCGCCCCCACCAGAGCCACTACCGGGGGAACTGGCACTCCCTGTTGCTCCTAACCCCCTTCCTGATTCTCCTCCTGCTCCTGCTTCTGCTGCCCCTGATGACTCCCCCCCTCTCCTTTCTCCGGATGAATCCCCAAGCTCTTCCCAGTTGTCGGGGATCCCAGGGCCCCACTCTACTCCCAGGCGCGACACCTGAATAAACACCTGCTCCCGAGGCACAGCAGCCGCAGCCGCAGCCGCAGCAGCAGCAGGAGCAGCAGGAGCAGCGGCACCAGCAGCACTGGCACCACCGTCTGCCTCAGCAAGCCTGGCGAAATCCTCTTCTCTGGGCAGACGTGCCACCTGCACGCCTGAATACTCTACCTGTACCTCCACCACACTCTCACCACCACCAGCTGCAACACCAGCAGCAGTGCTCGTCCCAACAGCAGCAGCGGCGGTGGCAGCAGCAGCAGCAGGAGAAGCGGAGATGGAGGAGGAGGAAGGGAAGGCGGAGGCAGAGCCCCTACCAACGCCACCACTACCACCAGCAGCACCAGAAGGACTGGCAGCAAAGCAGCTCGTAGACCTGCTAAAACCCGCCCTAGTTGCTGCTGCTTCCGCCCTGCTGCTAGTCCTGGAAACCCCAGGACTGCTGGCTGCTGCGGCTGCTCCGTCTCCTCCTCCTCCTCCCGCTCCTGCAGCCCCCCCTCCTCCCCTCGGCCCCCCGCCCAGAACACTCCCAGACCGGCTCAGAAACGAGTACCGCCCACCCTTGCTTCTGCCCCACCCTGCCTTCCCACCACCGGCAGCAGAACCAGGGGAATCAGGCCCCATTGGGGTCGAAGAAGAGGCGTGTGGAGCAGCAGTAGCAGCAGGGGGGGAGCCAGTGGATTTGGAGAGGAAGAGGTGGAACTTGGCAGCAGAGGCCTTATAGAGAGGAGTGCCGTCATAATCATGTACTGTAAGCTTTGCTCCTACTGCTCCCACCACTGCCTCAAGCCTGAACGGCCGCTTTGGCTTCTTTGGCTTGGGAACCTCCACCACTGTTGCTGCCTCTGCTGTCGCTGCTCCTGGTGCCCCTGCTCCTCCTCCTACTCTGCCTCCTGCTTCTCCTGCTGCTGCTGCACTCTTGCCTAGCGGTGGTGAATCAGCTTTTCGCGAAGCGCCTCTGGCCTTGGCACGTGGAGACAGAATCCCTTCCAGATACCCTTGCTGCTGCTGTTGCTGCTGTTCCAGCAGCTCCTGCTGCAGCTGCAGGTGCTGACGCCTGAGTGTCGCTGCTTTCTTCCTCCGCATCTCCTCAAGTGCTGCTGCCACCCACGGGGCGAGAGTAGCAGGGAACACCCGCCAGTCGACAGATGATAGAGTCATGTCCACCTCTGCCCGCACTGCCTCTGCCGTCTGAGGGAGGGAGAGGGAGACGGTGGGGAAGAATGGAGGTGCAAGGCGGTTGGAAGTGGTGAAATCGGAAAGTGAGGGAGGGGCACCCATGGGGAGAGAGTAGCAGGGAACACCCGCCAGTCCACGGCTGAGAGGGTCACGTCCACCTCTGCCCGCACTGCCTCTGCCGTCTGAGGGAGGAAGCAACGGCGGGGGAAAGGGGTTCAGGATAACGGGCGATAAGAGGAGGTGGGGTGGCTGGGTGGAGAGCTCAAAACACAAGAGAGCAACGAAATGTGGGCACGGTAAACTGGCATAGCGCAGAATAAAGAGGCAGATTTGACTTAGCATGGTAAAGAGGCACGCTGGCTCACATAGTGTGGGAAGGAGAGGCAAGCTGATGAAGATACACGCATGACTGACAGGGCACTACCCTCTTGGATCGACTCAGAAGTCACTTTGTTTTCTGACTCACTTAGTGTGGGAAGGAGAGGCAAGCTGATGACGATACACACATGACTGACAGGGCACTGCCCTCTTGGATCGACTCAGAAGTCACTTTGTTTTCTGACTCACTTAGTGTGGGAAGGAGAGGCAAGCTGATGACGATACACGCATGACTGACAGGGCACTGCCTTCTTGGATCAACTCAGAAGTCACTTTGTTTTCTGACTCACATAGTGTGGGAAGGAGAGGCAAGCTGATGAAGATACACGCATGACTGACAGGGCACTACCCTCGGCACTCTTCAGAACCTGGGGAGATGGGTGGCAGGAAGACAACAGAGGGGGGGAGGGGAGGGTTGGTGAGGGGAGCGAGGGAGAGTAGGGAAGAATGGGTGGGAGAGGGGAGTAACGAGTTGGAAGGGAGAGAAATGAGTACTAATGGGGAGGGATGAGAGGCGAGGAATGAGTGGGAGAGGGGAGGAGCGAGTGGGAGAGGGGAGGGGCGATCGGTAGAGGCGGGGTGACGGTGTGGAACGGCAAAGTGGCTCGTAGAAAACGACTCTCAAGATTCAACACCCCACCCACTTTCACAATACCATTAGCGCGCGTTGCTATCTATCAACTCACCTCCACAATGCGAATACTGAAATCAGTCTCGATTACAGAGGGATCAGGAGCCGGGCAGGAGAGAATAGAAAGGAGAGGGTGGTGGTTCTTGAGGCGTCTCATTATCACCCCTATCAGCGTCCTTCCCTATCAGCTCACTCACCTCCACAATGCCGATGCTGAAATCAGCCTCGATGACTGAGAGGTCAGGCGCTGGGCGGGAGAGCGTGGAGGAGAGGGAGATGGGGCCGCAGCTGCTGCGCAGCAGGAGGCCGCAGCGGTGATGCCACAGACGCAGCATGATGCGAGGCAGGGTGACTTGCACCTGGTGCAGGGAGAAGGAAGTGGGAAAAATAGGGGGAGCAGGGGGAGCAGAGGGGACACGGTAATGGGGGGCAGCAGGAGGCTGCAGCGGTGGTGCCAGAGGCGCAGCATGATTCGTGGTAGGGTGACTTGCACCTGGTGCAGGGGGGAATGGGGCGAAAACGGGAAGAAGGGCAGGGCGATGAGGGGGGCAGGGCATGATGCGAGACATAATTACTTCCACTCTTGCACGCACCTGGTGCAGGGAAGGAAGAGCAGGAGGAGCAAGTGGAGAAAGGAGAGCAGGGGGTGCAAACCTCCAGAGGAGCTGGGGACCAGGCACTACACACACCTTCTCCTTGGAGGTTGGGACGATTCCTCTCGTTCATCAGCACAGGAACATGCGCTGCTGCTGCCACAGGTGCAGCATGCAAAAGGGTCTCAAAGCCTAGGTAAAGCCCTGCCCTACCCTAGCCTGAGTAGCAAGAAAACATCACCGCACCTTTTCTGGGAGGTTGGGACGTTTTCTCTCGTTCACCAGCACAGGAACTGCCGCGGCAGCCACGGGTGCAGCAGGAACAGGGGGCTGGGCGGCAGGGGGGCGCTTGGGGGCCTTGACAATGCGCAGGGCGAGCAGACGCTCAGAGAGGTTCAGCTCGAGCTCCGACCAGTTCAGCTGCAGCTGCCGCACTGCTATGCCTACCTCTCTGGGGGTGAGGGAGGGAGGATGGAGAATGGAGCAGGAGAGGGAGAAGGGGAGTGTGAGGGACGAGGCGAGAGGTTCAGCTCGAGCTCTGACCAGTGCAGCTGTACCAACCGCAACGCTATGCACACCTCCCCCGGGGCGAGCGCGGGAGGATGGAGAATGGAGAGGGCGAATGGAGAGGGAGAAGAGGAGTCAGAGCTTAAAAAGCTGACGCATGAATATCACAGTTGACCTGTGATAAAAACGTTGGCCTGAAATGAAAATGCTCAGAGACTGCTGACCTGTCAAACCCTAGTGCCACATCAGTCGTCCAGCTCTCCAGCAGCATCAACGGCAGCGAATCATCCCCACTCCCCTCTCCTCCTCCCACACTCCTTCTTCCCCTCTCTTCTCCCCCACCATCCCACTCCCCTTCCCCCTCTCCCTCCTCCCCACCCCCACCCCCACCCCCACCGCCAATCCTAAACAGATTCATCGATCTAGATCGGAGCCCAGGGCTCTTCTCAGAAACAGGGGGGCGATGGGAGAGCGAGATACCCAGCAGCTCCAATCGCATAGCCACCTGCCCTTTCCCCGAGGCATCAGCCGTGGAGAACAGATCAAATTCCCTCAACTGGAAGCACACGTCAGGGGCCTGAGCCCACCGCACAGACACGTCAAACAGGCACACCCGAACCACCCGGGAGAAGCTTCCCAGAAGCTTCCACCGGCCCCAGGCGGCGGCAATCGCCCCGGCCTTCCTGGCCGGGCCCTTAGCCGCGGATCCGCTGCTGCTGAAGGCATTTTTGGAGGCTTTTTTCTTCTTTTTGGAGGTGGAGGGGGGCGAGGGGCGGAGCACGATGTCAACGTCTTTGATCTTGACGCGCAGGCGCAGCTTGAGGCTGCTCAGGGATGCCAGGTGGCCCTTCACCTCGCGTATCGTCACGCTCTGTATCGGACCCTGTTGTGGTGGGCGGGGGACGGGAGACATATAAGTGTGTTTTGAGTCGACTTGAAACGCACCAGGTGGCCCTTCACCTCGCGTATCGTCACGCTCTGTATCGGACCCTGTTGTGGTGGGCGGGGGATGGGAGACATAGAAGTGTGTTTTGAGTCGACTTGAAACGCACCAGGTGGCCCTTCACCTCGCGTATCGTCACGCTCTGTATCGGACCCTGTTGTGGTGGGCGGGGGACGGGAGACATATAAGTGTGTCTGAGTGTGTTTTGAGTCGACTTGAAACGCACCAGGTGGCCCTTCACCTCGCGTATCGTCACGCTCTGTATCGGACCCTGTTGTGGTGGGCGGGGGACGGGAGACATATAAGTGTGTCTGAGTGTATTTTGAGTCGACTTGAAAAGCACCAGGTGGCCCTTCACCTCGCGTATCGTCACGCTCTGTATCGGACCCTGTTGTTGTGGTGAAAGGGAGACATGGGAGAGTTTCTGCAGCAATGGATGGTATTGAACAATGCGCGGAACTGAAGACTCTGCAGCAGTATATTGAACAATGTGCAGCATTGTAGTGTAGTTTAACTCGGGTTAAGGGAGGGTGGTTGTGTTGGGGGTGAATTAACGAGGAAGGGACGGACCTTTTTGAAGGCGCAATGGATATCCTTGACCTTCAAGAGGCCAAGCACGCGAAAGCTCAGCGAATTTCCTGTGGTAACCTTGATCGCGAGGGTCACGATCTGCGTGAAGAACCTGCGTTCAAAAGAATTTGTATACGGGGGTTTCACAACGTGGAATATCCAAGGCTTTAGCTATCCTGAGTATCAGGGTGATGCCAGACGAATATGGCTGATAATCGTGAAGCTGATCGAGAACAATGGGACGGTACAATGTGTATTAACTGGAGCGATCTTTCATATTACGCGCAACGAGCTGTCACTGTGTCGCATTTATTACACTGGAGCTTCTGGTGTTTCAGAAATTGCTTGGAAATTATTCAAGAAGCTGGTATTGAATTATTATCTTACTTGGAGACTATCCATGCTCCCACGGTGCAAACGATGAAGACCACTAGGAACGTGAGCGGCGCGACGTCCAGCATCGTGCCGGCTGCTACTGACGGACTCTTGACGGATTTCGTTGCCGATGACGAACGGCTACGAACTGATCGTCACGACGAATCTACATCACGAACGCTCATCGCACCGTCAGCAACGGACGCGGTGACCGTTACACCTGACCTACAGCCACCGAGACGTGATCAGATGCTACTTACGAAGCGCGCAGTCAAACAAGTTTCGCACGACTAATGTCAACCTAAAAATACTGTATCTGGATATGTGCTGGTAGGACGGCAAGGAAATGAATGTTTGTATCAGTGGAAGCAAAAAAGAACAGCATGAGATATGGTGGAGGTGATTTGGCAGGAAGGTGCCGGCAATCCCGGTGCTGAGTGATGGCTCTCTGGAGAATGCAAAACGTGTGTCAAGGTTCCGTCAAGAAGTCAAGAATTTCCGTCAGCATGGAGGAAAACTCCGTCAACGCCTTGGACGGAGATTTTAGAGGCAGTAGGTACACGAAGCAGGTACACCCCGCATTTCGGGGTAGAGGTAGAAGAAAAAATCTCTTGTGACAAGTCTGGGTTGGGATGGGAGTTGCCAACAGTTCAGGGGGCACTCGAACTTAGGGGCTAGTCTCCTGTGAGTGGTCCGTGCTGACGTGGTCCGTGGCCAAAAAATCATACGCACTTCACGAAAACAATCTTTTGTTGCTTGCAACAAATAGCTCCGAGTGTACTCCGTAACTTCGAGGAGAAGTAATTGCAAATCCCGTCGCGTTCGCATCAGAACTCAGCTTATTGGCCAACAAAGATATTTCCCTTGCCCTACCTCTGACAGGGCTGCTATTACAGTATTGAGCTAAGGCGAAGAGATTAAAGACCACCACCATTCCTTTCGCTGATAGGTCCATGACGTGTTACGCACAGCCTTTCGTTTCAGATAATATCGCGCAGACCGTGTTTCCCAGCTTCACCATCAATCATTCGCCTTCTGGCTTTCAGATCCTCGTTCCCAGTCACTAGGTCAGAAGACCGCCAGAGAGAACCTTATTTTTTGTCCCTAACAGCTATGTACCCGTAAGCAGAGCCTGCGAGTACTCGTCGTATCCTTGCGAATCCTATTCTTTCAAGTTAGCATGATCGCGGCTGCTTGAACGCTGCTATTTGGTCTTGCCTGACTCCAGTGCCAAACTCCAGTAGGTGACTCTGATACGACTCAGTAAGTTCTAAAGAATTCTGAGAAGGTTCAGTCCAGTGCCCCCGCTAACAGCTCGCCTGCGCGTCCGACTCCGAGTCGCTAACGGCCAACAGCTCACCTGCGCGTGCGCGTCCGAATGGGGAAGCGAAAGTCGGCAGCTAAGCCCGAGGCGAGGAGGGTTCAGAAGGTCCCGACGACTTTCAACTGCCCGTTCTGCAATCACGAGGCCAGCGTCGAGTGCAAATTGTACGTGGAACGAGCGTCTGCTGTATGTGCAACGAGCGTAGTAGTAACTATACGCAGCACTACGCCTTTAGAACTTCGTATTCTCCCGACGGGTGAGCGCCGCGTGCTTTCGCGCGACGGCAGGCTTAATCTCTCTGACTGCCATAAGCCGCGTTCCTCTTCCGTCTAACACAGCGTGCTGGCCGTTGAAGCGCCTACAGCGGCTTTCGTTTGCCCGCTTGCCTCAATCAAGTATTGCATGTTATCATGCCTATCCGTGGCTCATTCGTCTGATCGCGTCCCGGTATTTCGATCACTTCTCTGTTCCCAATCACCCTGACGATCACTTTTACGTTCTGCTGGACCATTGCGTTGCCGTGCAGGGACCGAAATGCAGGCATAGGGACGGTGTCGTGCCGCGTGTGCTCCGAGCAGTACCAAACCACCATTGACAGTGCGTGCACAATTGTCCGCCCATCCATCTGTTTGTCCATCCATCCATTGTGTTATGGCTTTCGTCTTTCTCATCAGTTTTAACTGCATAGCTTTCATCGTTGTGGCTTATTTACCTGTATTCTTTTCCCCTGTATCTCCCGTTTTCTTCTTCCTCTCCACCTTCCTTGCCGCCCTTTTTTCCGTCTTGCCATCCAACTCTTGTAACAAAATGCTCAACTTCGGACCACCTTATTCTTGGCGGCATGCGGCTTCAATTATGATCGTCCTGATTTTGTTTCCACATGGTGTGCTGCTGCTCTGCATCACCAACAGATTTGAGCGAGCCGATTGACCTGTACGTGACCTGCCTCTGAATCTATCCTGGCCCATCCACTCTATCCACCTCCTGTCTTTTCACACACCCATGACATTCGCCCCTCCTCTTTCCTCGCTCTCTGCCTTTTTGTGTTCGCTGTCACTCATGCACATATCTTTGAATGAAATGAGGTGATTTATCATCAATTTATCCCCGCTCTGTTCATCGCAGGTTTTCTGAATGGATAGATGAAGCTGAGCGTGTTAATGCTGAGCAGTAAGATACATTCAAGCTGTTGGGCTGAGAATTTCAGCCTTAGGATCTTTGCAGAGAATAGGCTAGTAAGTGCTAGAGTAGCACAGCGGAAGTCTTGAGTGAATGTACTTGTGCTGGTATGTGAGAACAAGTAATTGATTAAAGCAAAGGGCATACAGGAATATATAGAAAAGATAGATTACAAGGAACGGTTATGTTTATCGAGACGCGTAACGCTTCGACTATCGAGGTGGTTACTGTTCACTGAAGCGTCGCTTGCTGTTACGTAACCTCCAGGCGGTTACAGCTCGCAACCTCTAGTTGCGGTTTGATGTGGTACGCGCCTTTTCGACTTCGTACTCCTTTTGTTGTGCTTCAGTATCGGGTGAGGTTCGATACTACAGAAACGCACTAAGGGTACATTCCGCTGTGGATTTGTGTCTCAATCAAAATGTCTCAATCCACTTTTCGTCGAGTCACGCCCAATTTTCCCGAATCTGCATGTCCCAATTGACCGATGTTTTGCGACTAGGCTGTGTGAAGCGACAATTATGTGCGACCACAGCTGATTGGTCACCGTCCAATTTGTACCCATTTCCCCTCCAAGAGCGCAAAGGCCTACGGGGAGACCGCGGAAGACACACAACACATCCAATAATTGCGACTGTGGGTGCTATGGCAATACGAAGCACACACAAGGAGCTACTATATTCCAGAAACACAGAAATAGGAAAATACGCCTGTCCAATGAACACAATATGGCAGAGCCACGACCCATCCCATTCGTCCTACGCCTACTCGTCGCCTGGGTAACCTACTACTACACCATATTTCACGAAAATGTGGCCAAGAGCTTTGTAGGCCTCATCGAGTCAGGTGTCTTCGAGGAAGAGGAAGAGCAGTCCTCATCCACAGGGGATGATTACGGCGAGAACCGCCGTCACAGAGTGAGGATACGAAAGCGAAAACACTCTGTATGGGTTGAAGATCTGCAACACATGCGTGAGAACGACTTTCAGGATCTTTTCAGGATAAATAAATCAATATTGGAGCACATCAAGGCTGGGCTGCAACACTACCTAGAGCCAATAGTGCAACGCTCCATGCTCACCTTGGACACTGCAGTGCTAATCCCAATCAAGTACCTGGCCTCCGGAATCTCGTACGTCGACATTTCGTACCTGTTCGGCGTCTCCAAAACTCTATGCCACGAGCTCGTCGACGTATTTCTGTCGGAGTTCCCCACCGTCTTCAAGGCCGCCTGGGTGCGATTCCCCACCCGTGAAGACCTTCCAGATATGGCGCGGGAGTTTGCAGCCGTCAAAGGCATACCTGCTGTGGTGGGTGCTGTGGACGGCACTCATGTACACATGAAGGGGATGGAGGGTCATAGAACAGAGTACTGGACACGGAAATCTGCTTATGCCGTCCAACTCCAGCTCACCTGTGACGCACGGGGGCGAATATGGGACTACCTGATAGGGTATCCCGGGAGCGCGCACGACATGCGGGTTTTTAAAGAAAGTGCACTACTGGAGAGGTTACACAACGGGGACATAGCCCCATACCAGATCGTTGGCGACGCGGCATACCCACTACGGGAGTACTGCCTAACACCCCTGCATGCCCCACGAGGAGAGGACCTCATGGATGACTGGGCACAGACATTCAACTACTGTCAAAGCGCTACACGCATGGCCGTGGAGAGATGCATCGGGGCGTTCAAAGGGAGATGGCGCATCTTCGGCCAGCGCAACGACTGCAGGTTATGGCGCATCCTCGCCGGGGCCGCGTGTTGTGTCATCCTGCATAACATGTGTGAGGACATGCAAGATGTCAGGCGGCGAAACATGGCATGGGAGAACCTCCCCCGCAACCGCGATCCATGGTGGACGCGGGGTGCTATTGCAACACACAAATGGGAGCCGTGTGATCCCCCAACACAACAAGCACTTCGGGATAGGAGGAAACGCCTGGGGGAGGCGCTTCAGTCATCTTACGCTAATCGTCGGCGCCGCGAACCCATATCTCCACATCCTCATCCGCTGTAGTACCGGTTTCGGGTGCAGGAGCAGACTCCCCGCGTGGCGGCGGTGGAGAGAAATCAGGGGGCGCGCGGTGCACATCCGGGGGAGCCGACTCTGTCATACGCTCACGGGCAAGTCGGAGATCTTGCGCCATCCATTCACGGACGAGCCCTTCGATGCGAGTCATGGCGTCGCCATGGCAGTCCTTGATGGTGGCGGAGACGAGCATCGCCGCTTGCATGGTGGCCGTCTCACGCACTCGGGCACGCTTGGGTGTGCCAGGAGTCGCTGGCGGAGGAGCTGCGACATAGAAGAGATGGTGGTTGTAGGTCAGTTTTTGTTTCGAACACAATGTTGATTCTTGTGCCTTACATGGTGGTAATATAAAAAGGCAGTCATGAATCACGAGTTCGTATAAACAAGAACTACAGCGCCGAATAGAACACCCATGGCTCACCTGTGAAGCAAGGAGTTGACGTGCCTGGCTGGGACGATTGCGGAACCTCCATGCCCGCCGGGACGTCGACGTTATTCGCGCCACCTCCGTCCACGGCATGCGGAGCGGCTGCGGCGGTGTCCTGGTTGTGCAGCTCCAGGTACGGAAACCAAGGCGGTTTCTCTACGGAGCCGTTGCCCGACCCCCCGTCGGCACGTTTGTACTCCCGCCATAGAAACACGAGGCTACGCCACTGCTTCTGGAGCGCGTTGACACCCCGGATCCATCCGGGGTTCGACTCTTTGATGTGTGTGAGCAGCCGGACCCAGTATTGGGTACCCTGCTTCCCCTTGAGAGGCTCGAGCTCCTCCTTCATGAACCACTTCGCCGCGGCGAAGATGGTGCTCTCCGTGTCAGACCAGGTGCCACGCTCGACTGGTGCGGCAGCCCGTTTCTTACTCGGCTCGCGGCGAGCTGCAGACTGGGACGCCGCCTTGCCTTTGCCCTTGTCGTGCGCAGCCTTGCGTGCGGTCGGCCGTTTCGGCGGCGGTGCGACTGGATGGGCTTCCTCGGAGGCGTCGTCCTCGGCATCCTCGTCGTCGTCTTCGTCGTCGTCGATGGGCGACATCCCAAGGTCCTCAGGTGCGTCGTCCTCGTCGTCGGAGGCGACGTCGTCGTCGCCTTCACCGTCCTCATCGTCTGCGCCGTCATCCTCAATGGCAGATCGGTGTGTGGACGCCGTCCTGGGAGGCTGGCGGCGCACACGGGACGGCCCCGCCGTGGGCGACGGTGCAGTAGACCACTGACTGTCACTTACGGGTGGCGCGGACAAGCCCCTGGGGTGACGACCGTTGGCGATTTGCTGGTTCATCCAGCGGATGTACGGGATTTCGTTTAGGTCTTTGGGGCAGTCGTTCAGAGCCCCCCCCTTACGCTTACGTGCCATGCGGGCCGGTGGGACAGCTTCTAGATCTAAATCTACTGGGAAATGTGGCGGGAGAAGAGTGAAGAGCAATACATCACACACGAGTTGTGTTGGAGGTGCACGAGAACGGGGGGCCCGCGGACTGGCGGGAATGTGCGCGTCCCTGTCAATAATTCTGCATGTTTCGTTTCCTCCAATGAGGACGCATTGTACGCGTTTGGGGGGAAATTGAGTTTCGCAAAATGTGGTCCAGATACATGATGCCTGTTGAAACATTTGGTGCCGTTTGCGAGTCCTTGGGTGTGTTGCAATTAGCGGGCGACTGTTCCGTGAATCACGCCAGCCTATGATAAATACAGTCGGCGACAAAGACGGGCGCCACGGCATTTCGACACCTGGCAGCATATGCTGGCTGTACGCGTCTCAATCGATTGGGACACATCGATTGAGACACAAATCTACAGCGGAATGTACCCTAAGTCATGCGTTTATTTTCCCAACACTCCCCTTCGTTTCTGGAGTGTCGACGTGGTCAGCTTCGGTGACGTGGTCCAATCCGGTGAGTAGCATGCAGTACTCGAATTTTCCCTTTGGTAGCTTCTTGGTGAGATAATCTGCTGCCATCTCGGTGGTCGGGCAGTAATCCAGCTGGAGTTTTCCTTTCTCAATTTCGTCTTTCACGAAGAAGTATCGCAGTGCGATATGCTTGGTTCTGTTGGCGAAGCCATTCTTGTTCGCGATCCGTATCGCGGACTGGTTGTCGCAGAAAAGCGAGAAGCTGGGTACTTTCGCAATTTTCGCTTCTTCCAGCAGTTCGCGCAGGTACAGGCCCTCCTTGGTAGCAGTGCAGAGAGCAATATACTCTGCTTCAGCAGATGATAGTGCGACGAGTTCCTGCTTACTTGATTGCCAGGAGATAGTTCCGACGGGCTCAAGACGGTAGATGTAGCCGGTGCGAGAGCGACGATCGACACGATCAGCAGCATGATCAGCGTCGACGTAGCCGAGTAGTTTTAGGTCGGTCGTCGTGTTCTTGTGATATGTTAAGCCAACTGTTGGCGTCGAGATGAAGTAGAGAAGGGCACGGTTGAGTTCCTTGAGGTGACGTTGTTCTGGGCGCTTGAGGTAGGTCGCTAGTTGACTGGCGCTGTAGGATAAGTCCGGTCGGCACGTAACGGCGGCAAAGAGTAGGCAGCCCAGTTTCTGTTGATATTCCTGGATTTCAGCAGGCGGCAGTGGGTTGGTTTCTTCGGTTGGATCGAGCGATAGGTGACTGTAGGGTGTTGCGATGTGCGTCGGTGTGATGCAGAAGCGTTCGGCGATAGTGCTTGCGTATTTTGAGGCGCTGAGACGAATAGTGTTGTCTTCATCGAGGATGTTGAGCCCTAGATACTGCGTGACGTTGGGTGAGACTGTGAGGGAGAGATCTGTCTGAAGCTCCTTTTCGAACCAGGTGACGATGGTGGTAGTTGACCCGATGTAAAGCAAATCGTCGACGTAGACGATTAGCAGAACGTAGTCGTTGTCGCGAGTGAGACGATACATGCCCTGGTCATGGGGCAGTTGGTTGAATCCGATGCGTTTGAGTCGTGCGTGCAGGTACTGCTGCCAGAGTCGCGGTGCTTGCTTAATTCCGTATAGTGATTTTAGTAGTTGGCAGACGAGGGAAGGGTCGTCGACGAACCCGTGGGGCTGTTCGACGAAGATTTCAGCGTCGACTGGGGCGTATAGAAAGGCGTTGGTGACATCGATTTGTCGGAGTGGGCGGCGGCGTGAGGCGGCGATGGCGAGGAGTATGCGCAGGGAAGTATGTCGACTGACTGGTGCGAAGGTTTCAGTGAAATCGCGACCATACTCTTGGTCGAATCCGCGGACGACCCATCGAGCTTTAAACCGTTCGATGGTTCCGTCGGAGTTGGTTTTGATCCGGAATACCCATTTTCCGGAGAGAATGGGTTTGTCTTGTGCGAGTGATGCAGGGACGATCTTCCAGGTGTTGCGGTCTGAGAGCGCTTTTAACTCCTTTTCCATGGCTTCGCGCCATTTTTCTTTGTGTTCCCCCCCCAGAGCCTGCTTGACAGAGCGAGGCTCTTCAGGTGGCGACGAAGGCCCGTGCACTGCAGCAACGAGTCCCAGGACTTGGATTCCGCTGGGGGTGTGACGATTCAGCAAAGGGTCCTCGGGATAGACTGCTTCGTCTCCCGCTTCAGGATCAGGTGCGAATCCGGGGCCGTATCTTTCAGAGATGTCGGTGTTGACGGGTTGGGGTGTTACGTAACCATTGTCGGCGAAATGGTAGTAGGCGTCGGCATTGTTACTGTCGCGAGGGTTTTCCTCGTCCATGGGGATTGGGACGGAGCAGTAAGGAAGAGGTCCAGCAGCTTCGGAAGCGCCGTCGACGTTCTCTTCTTCCCAGTCAGCAGCATCGGAGGGTGAAGCGAAGGCTCGGGAACCAGAAAATCCGCCGGTGGGGTCGACGTGGCGTGCGATGTTGTCCAGGTAATGGTTGAGGGTGAGTCGCTCGTAGAAGATAACGTCACGTGCTGCTACTGTTTCCTTTGTGTGGACGTCGAAGATTCGCCATGCTTCGTAATATTTTGCCAGCCCGAGGTGTAGACCCCACTGTGCACGTTGCGAGAATCTCCCTGCGCGTGCAGTGTGTGGGCGGTACTGTACCATACACCCAAAAACTCGTAACATTTTTGTGTTGCCCAGCTTCCCAGTCCACAACAGGTGCGGAGATGCGTTGTTGGGCAGTGATGATGAGGACAGCAAGTTGTGCAGGAGGACAGCGTGGTCCATCGCTGCTGGCCATTCTGAGTTGGGCAGTCGAGTTCCACGTAGCAGCTTTCGCATGGTTGTCTGCAGGGTCCTGTTCATCCTTTCTGCCACACCCTGCTGTTGGTGAGCGTAAGGAAGAGAGATGAGGCGTTTGATGCCTCTTTCTGCCAAGAACTGTGTGAAGTTGTTTGACTGGTACTCCTTTGCGCCATCTGACTGAAAACTCTTCAGTTTCGCTCCTGACTCTCTTTCAGCAACAGGTAGCCAGGCTGTGAAGGCTTCTAGAGCCATGTCTCGTGACGGTAAGTTGACGTGCCAGACATATCGCGTTGCGGCGTCGATGAAGGTGATGACGTAGTTCAGATCTTCACGACCTTCCGTTCGAGGTATGTATAGTATGTCGCTGTAGACTTTCTCGAGTGGTTGATAAGCGGGGGCGCTCGGATTGTGGTGTGACGGGAACGGTTGGTGAGGCAGATCTGCTTCCGGGCAGATGAAGCAGGTGCCGCGTGGTCGTTCGAGTTCTCGTCCGTTGGGAAGAAGTAGGGCGTTCTTGTCTAACACTCCGGCTCGTATTGTATTGTAGAGTGTTGTGTTTCCAGGATGTCCAAGACGTTGATGCCATATGTCTTCGGAGGCGCTGTGACCTACGGAGCGTCGATAGAAGTCTGCGTTAGCGAAGAAGGCGGCGTGAGTTGCTGCACTTCAATGAACGGCGCGTGGTGCTGGCGTTAACTGTTGGGCGGCTGTCGGTGGCGTGTCGATGATGAGAGGTGGAGGTGCGACGGAGGGACCGAGCTGTAGGGTTTCGGAAGGTTGTTCCGCGACGACGGTTGGTTCTTCAATTGCAGGTTCGGAGGTTGTTGGTGTTGTGACGGGTGCAGTTGTTGTTTCGATGACGGGTGCTGACTCAGGTGTTGTGGCTTGTGTTTGCAGGACGGCAAGCGCGTTGGTGCGTTCAGCTTCGGGAATGGTACGAGAGTACCAGAAGCCTTCAGGACTGAAGTTCGGGTCGAGGTCTGGCGGATGCGTCCAAGGTGCGAGAGCGACTATGCCGTCGCTGTCTGCGGTGCCTTTGTCGGGGACGAAGTCGAGGACGAACACGTCATCTTGTTGGATTGCACGGCCGATGAAGACCCCCCCTTTTCCGTGGTAAAGACGGATTTCCAGGGCGTCGGAGTCGCACTCCAGGTGAACGCCTTTCGACATGAGTTGGCTGACGCTCTGTAAGTTAAAGCCGAGGTTGTCGACGACGAGTACTTTGTTTAATTGAAGAATAACGTTTGTTTCGTTTGACTGAAGCTCCACGACTCCTTGTTTGTTGGTGCGCAGGTTTTCGTTGTTGGCGATGGTGATGATGACGTCTCGCGGAAGACGTCGTTCGCGCTGAAGAAATCGTGATGAAGAGCACATGTGATGACCGCAACAACTGTCGAGGAACCATGTGTCTGGTCCGGTGGGTGCACGGTTCGCGATGGCGGCGTACGTTGGATTCACGTTAAGGGACGACGGTGGTGGTGATGGTTGCTCATCAGGACTGTAAGTTGGTGGAGAGCCGGTAATGCACGAGTCGATGTTTGACTCTGTTATTCGTGCCATGGCGACGATTCTTGGTGTCTGTGCAGGTCCCGAAGTGGAGGTTGACGGTCGTGTTGAAGTAGTCGTTGAGGCGGTAGCGGGTCGTTGTTGAGTTGACGCGATGTGGGGAGGCACTGGTCGCAGAGGACGAGAGAATGGTGCTGGTTGTCGTTGTTGCTGAGGGCAGTTGAAGCGTGTGTGTCCTGAAGTCCGACAAAGATGACAATAGGGAGGTACGTGTCCTCGATTTTGGTAGCGTGGCTGTCGTCGATTGGTGTAAAGAACGATTGGTTGATGATGCCTTTTGTTGTTGCGTTCTTCGAACAGGTCCATTTCCTGCTGCTCGGCGTGAAGTTCGGCGCAGAGATGCATTTCGGAGAGTCGACCGTGAGCGCGAAGAAGTGAGCGGGTGGTGCGCCACTGAGGTCCAAGGCCGGCAAGAACGACGGTTACGAAAGCTTCTTCAGATAAGTTTCCTCCGCAGCGAATGAGTCTGTCGCGTAGTCCTTGACAGCGACTGATGTAAGGCATGGCCTTTTCTCCAGGTTGCATTTGAACTGTTGTTAGTTGTGCCATGAGTCGGCTTTGCGTAACGCTGTCGGATGCTTGATGAATACTTCGCAGATGTTGATAAGCGAGTTCCGCGGAGTTTGCGTAGTTCCGGTAGGCGCGGATGCTTTGTTGTTCATTCGGCGACAGGTTTCGGAGAAGAACGGTGTAAGCCATGAGGGAGTGATACGTATAATTTTCTTTGTCCTTGTCTTCGCCGTTGTGTGGATATGGCCAGGTACCGTTGAAGAAGCCAAGAAGATTCGCGCCTTCCATCAGGAGTTCAAATTCGAAGCTCCAAGAGTAGAAGTCCTTCCCGTTGAATGGTGTGGATGTGTGCAATCGTAGGATGTTGTTGAACTGTGCTTGTACTTGCAGGACTTCTTCGGTGTCTCGTTTGATGGCGGGAAGAGGAGTCGCTGGATGGCGGGGCGGCATGAACGTGAAGGAACCAGGTGAGACCGAATTTGGTGTTTGTTGATTATGTCGTCCGAACGATGAGTTGTCAATACTCATTGGTGCCGCTCCGTTGTTTACGCTGTTGATGTTTGCAGGTTGTGAGGACTGCTGCTGCGACATGAAGTTGAAGAACTCCTCCATTAGGCTTGGGTTGGAGATTGGCGGCGCTACTGGTGCTTGAGTAGAGCGTTCCGTCGCTTCCGGTGTTAATCCGGGCGTTGTTCCTCCTTCGGTCTGCAACTCGGAGACCGGGGGTAGAGTAGATCCCGTAGATGATCTTCTTTCTTTGCCACTTGCCATGTCTTGCCTTTCTTGAGTGAAGGTTGGACTTCTTGGTCGTTTGCAGATTGGTAGCCTGAAAGAGGCTTAATGACGAGAGCATTTGTTTTCTGACTGCTCTCATACCATGTTGGGCTGAGAATTTCAGCCTTAGGATCTTTGCAGAGAATAGGCTGTGAAAATATTAGGTGTGGGGCCTAGGCTTAGTAGCCTAGGCCCACACTAGGAGATAGGTAAGTTCGAGTGGGTTAGGTGAGAGTCGAGAAATTGGAAGGGAAGTGAAGTGACTAGCAAGAGTTGGGATACAAGTACATTGCCCTAAATTGGGTTGTACTCATTACAGAGTACCCCACTGCAGGCTAGACAGCAAATATATTCTGACACACCCCCATAGCCAAAGTGGGGTGAAATCAGCAGAGCAGGCAAAGCAGTACAAGCTCAGGGTGGATCACAATGTCACCACACATTCTGAGCACAAGTTCAAGAAGCAATAGTTAAAGTGCACAATTATCAGCAAAGCTAGTGGTGGTCACAACGGGCAGGTGAGGAGGAGGAGGGAGAGTGAGAGGAGAGGAGATGGGAGGCGACTGCTGAAGCTGCAGACACACGGGCAACAGGAGCGGCTGGCACAGTGGCTACCGGGACAGCGCCCCGGACTACTGGAGTAACTGGCTCGGCGGCTACGAAGAGCGGCAGGAGCAACGGACCCACGGGCGACAGGTGCAGCAGGCTCACTGGGCTACCAGGACAGCGCCCCGGACTACAGGTGCTGCGGACTACAAGACGGCAGCCTCCGCTCAACCTCCCACAAACAGTCCCACCCCCCTGACACACACCCGCTGCTACACCCCTAGCTCCACTCCCACGCACCCCCCTTAAACCCTAAACCCCAGTCTCCCACACAACCACCCCCCTCAGCGACAGCTGCAGCAGTGGGAGACGACGGAGGAGGAGAAGGAAGGGGCGACACAAACGGAGCACCCCCACACCCGCAAACGGGGGGGGGGGGGGGGGGACAGTGCGCACGAGGGCGCAGACAGTAGCAGAGCGCACGGGGGCGCGAGCACGAGACACGGGCAGCAACAGGCACGGGCACCACAGGCACGGGCAGCACAGGCACGGGCAGCATAGGCACGGGCAACAACAGGCACAGGCAGCACAGGCACGGGCAGCACAGGCACGGGCAGCACAGGCACGGGCAGCACAGGCACGGGCAGCAACAGGCACGGGCAGCGCGGGCACGGGCAGCACAGGCACGGGCAGCACAGGCACGGGCAGCACAGGCACGGGCAGCAACAGGCACGGGCAGCACAGGCACGGGCAGCACAGGCACGGGCAGCACAGACACGGGCAGCACAGGCACGGGCAGCAACAGGCACGGGCAGCACAGGCACGGGCAGCAACAGGCACGGGCAGCACACGCACGGGCAGCACAGGCACGGGCAGCACAGGCACGGGCAGCACAGGCACGGGCAGCACAGGCACGGGCAGCAACAGGCACGGGCAGCAACAGGCACAGGCAGCACAGGCACGGGCAGCACAGGCACGGGCAGCACAGGCACGGGCAGCACAGGCACGGGCAGCACAGGCACGGGCAGCAACAGGCACGGGCAGCACAGGCACGGGCAGCACAGGCACGGGCAGCAACAGGCACGGGCAGCACAGGCACGGGCAGCAACAGGCACGGGCAGCACAGGCACGGGCAGCACAGGCACGGCAGCACAGGCACGGGCAGCACAGGCACGGGCAGCAACAGGCACGGGCAGCAACAGGCACAGGCAGCACAGGCACGGGCAGCACAGGCACGGGCAGCACAGGCACGGGCAGCACAGGCACGGGCAGCACAAGGCGTACCGGGTCCAGGGGCGGCTTCTGGGGTCCAGGGGCGGCACCTGCAGCTGGGCGGCGGTAGCTGCTGCGGCAAAGCGGCGGCGGCTGCTGCTGCTGAAAGAGCGGCGGCTGCTGCTGCTGGGTCGGTGGCGGCAGCTGCTGCAGGTCTGGCGGCGGCTGCTGCTGCAGACTCTGGCGGCGGCTGCTGCTGTAGACTCTGGCGGCGGCTGCTGCTGCAGGCTCTGGCGGCGGCTGCTGCAGCAGGCTCTGGCGGCGGCTGCTGCTGCAGACCCTGGCGGCGGCTGCTGCTGTAGGCCTGGCGGCGGCTGCTGCTGCAGGGCGGCGGCGGCTGCTGCTGCAGGAACTGACGGCGCCCCGCGGGTCCCGCATGGGGCGTCGCGACGAGCAGGGGCGACGCCCCGCGGGTCCCGCACGGACGTCGCGACGAGCAGGGGCGACGCCCCGCGGGTCCCGCACGGACGTCGCGACGAGCAGGGGCGACGCCCCGCGGGTCCCGCACGGACGTCGCGACGAGCAGGGGCGACGCCCCGCGGGTCCCGCACGGACGTCGCGACAAGTAGGGCGGCGCCGCGCGGGTCCCGCACGGACGTCGCGACGAGCAGGGGCGACGCCCCGCGGGTCCCGCACGGACGTCGCGACAAGTAGGGCGGCGCCGCGCGGGTCCCGCACGGACGTCGCGACGAGCAGGGGCGACGCCCCGCGGGTCCCGCACGGACGTCGCGACGAGCAGGGTGACGCCGCGCGGGTCCCGCACGGGCGTCGCGACGAGCAGCGGGGAGGGCAGCGCGCAGGCCCCCCGAGGGCGCTTCGAAGGACGGGAAAACCGCCGCGCGCCCCGAGCGCACGGCGGGATGAAAAACTCCGAAATCCTTAAAAAAATTTCGCCGCGCGTTCCGCGCGCGGCAGGAAGAAGGACTGCAGCGGAAGCATAGGGGCCCACAGGCCAAGGTAGAACGGGCTCTGATAACATGTGAAAATATTAGGTGTGGGGCCTAGGCTTAGTAGCCTAGGCCCACACTAGGAGATAGGTAAGTTCGAGTGGGTTAGGTGAGAGTCGAGAAATTGGAAGGGAAGTGAAGTGACTAGCAAGAGTTGGGATACAAGTACATTGCCCTAAATTGGGTTGTACTCATTACAGAGTACCCCACTGCAGGCTAGACAGCAAATATATTCTGACATAGGCTAGTAAGTGCTAGAGTAGCACAGCGGAAGTCTTGAGTGAATGTACTTGTGCTGGTATGTGAGAACAAGTAATTGATTAAAGCAAAGGGCATACAGGAATATATAGAAAAGATAGATTACAAGGAACGGTTATGTTTATCGAGACGCGTAACGCTTCGACTATCGAGGTGGTTACTGTTCACTGAAGCGTCGCTTGCTGTTACGTAACCTCCAGGCGGTTACAGCTCGCAACCTCTAGTTGCGGTTTGATGTGGTACGCGCCTTTTCGACTTCGTACTCCTTTTGTTGTGCTTCAGTATCGGGTGAGGTTCGATACTACAGAAACGCACTAAGTCATGCGTTTATTTTCCCAACACAAGCAACCTTCCACAAATGCAATGCTCGTCGTGGTGTAGTTCAATAAGTGTGCATGCGCAATTAAGCTGGATGAATACTTAGGTGTAGTTTGTTTGTATGAAGTCTTCCCGGGGGGGTTTATAAGGGTGAATCTGTTTGTGTGTGGATTTTTTGCTTGTTAGGGGCTGTGTTGTGAGTGAGGCCTCTTGTAATATTTGTAATCGTAAAGCTTCACTTTTGTGGCGCCATTTCGGTTGCTCCGCTGCCAACTCCCATTCTGCCGAGCTAAATAGTCGCCCTTTTACCTCATGCCTTCTCTTGCATTGTACTATTTTGGGCCCATAGTGCAATCCTTGTTGGTTAAGGCAATTGCATTCGTCGTAACCTTGTTGGGGCATTGTTCAACAGCGCGTACAGCCTGACAAGCTTTAGCTTCCCCCGCCTCAGCTCGACTCCAGAGCAGAACCCTAGACTTCATAAGGTTATAGATTCTCCAAGATACCTGCCTAGCGTTGCTTCTTGCCGTTCAGCTACTGCTGCGTTACCTGATCGTGGACTCGGGCCACCATCCCTCACGTTCCGTCGATTAATCTTTCCGTAAGTGCTGTGCTTCCAGTGTATCAACAAGTCTTTTTTTCTCTCTCGTTTTTTCGTCGTCCGAATCCTGAGTAGCCGCAGTTGTCTCCTGTTCACCGCGTAATAATACGCGCGCCATCTTTTCGTCGTTCGTCTATTTTCGTCATCGTGCTTATTTCTCAACGCCCTTCGTGACCAGCAGAACGAAGCGCTCACCATGACGGACGTCAGCAGTGCGCTTCGGGAGCAGCAGAAGCTGTTGCAGTCAGCTCGCGCATTGACTCACATGAAGGGTCCCGGTGATCGGATCACGAGCGTCGTCATTCCGTCCGTGCTCGCGCTGACCGCCGCCGCGCTCATTGTAAGACAGTATGCTGTGGCCCCGTACTGGACCGCTCTGGATTTAATTGAACCGTATTGTAGAACATAGAATCGATCTGAGTGAGCGGAATCCGTTGCAGTCAGCTCGATCCTTCACGCGCATGAGGGGTCCCGGTGATCGGATCACGAGCGTCGTCATTCCGTCCATGCTCGCGCTGGGCGCTGCCGTGCTTATTGTCTGTAGCTTTCCGACGACGAGATCGCACACTACCGCACTGAATCGCACTGAATCGCATTGATTCGCACTGCATAGATTCGCACAATAGCCGTTGCAGTCGGCTCGCTTCGCGACCGCGTCACGACCTCGCGCAATGCTGCTCCGTTCGCTCTTGTTCCGTCCGTTCTCGCGGTGCCCGCACCGTGCTCCTTCCGTGCGCAAAGCGCATGAACTCGCCTTTTGAGGCGCCTCAAAGACGCTCCGTCCGTTCTCACGGTGCGCGCACCGTGCTCATCCTGAGGCGCATCAACTTGAGCGCTTATTGAAATTACGGTCTCTCACGACCTGCACAGTGCGAAAGCTTTTGGCCCTCTCCTTCGTGCTGCATTTTTCAAAAGGACTCTTGACTAAGAGCGCATGAGAGTCGGGACTTTCATGGAAGGTGGCCATAAACGGCCGTTTTGTATCTTCTGGGAACTTTGAGGTTCGTCTCCTTTGGTCGTCTCCTCTGGTCATACTTAGCTAATCTGTTACCTGGGTCCGTTCCCTTCTGTGCTGCTGGTGGGTTGCAGGGCAGGGGCTTGTTCAACATGTCTTTTGGGATCGGCAAGAAAGAGTGAAGGTCCTTCCAGCACGGATTGTGATTCTTTTGTATGATGTCTTGTCAAATGTTGTAGCCTGTAGTGAGGTTTGTCTTAGGGGGTACAGAAGTTAGGGTTTGTCATATGTACCCCAACCAACATCAATGCAACTCTCATTCCTCATTCTGACATGGTATCAGCTAGGTTAGGATCCTGTGGGATCCCGTTCCTCCGTTCTCCGTTCGTACCTCCCGAGCCTGATCCTACCTCTCGTTCGTACCAGTTTCGTAGTTACCGCGCCTAGTACCGAGCCTAGCGTCATCTCCCCCGTCGCGTCACGCCTGTTCCCCCCCCGTCGCGTCACGCCCGTTCCCCCCTGTCACGTCGCGCCCGTTCCCCCCGTCGCGTCGCGCCCGTTCCCCCCGTCGCGTCGCGCCCGTTCCCCCTGTCGCGTCGCGCCCGTTCCCCCCCGTCGCGTCGCGCCCGTTCCCCCCCGTCGCGTCGCGCCTGCCTGTTACCCCCCCCCGTCCCGTCGCCCTGTCCCGTCGCGTCGCCCTGTCCCGTCGCCCTGTCCCGTCGCCCTGTCCCGTCGCGTCGCCCTGTCCTGTCGCGTCGCCCTGCCCTGTCCCGTCGCGTCGCCCTGCCCTGTCCCGTCGCCCTGTCCCGTCGCGTCGCCCTACCCCGTCGCGTCGCCCTGCCCTGTCCCGTCGCCCTGCTCCGTCGCGCCGCCCTGCCCCGTCGCGTCGCCCTGTCCCGTCGCGTCGCCCTGCCCCGTCGCGTCGCCCTGACCTTTCCCCCGTCGCGTCGCCCTCCCTAGGCCCTGGCCTGTCGCCCTTCCTAGGCCCTGGCCCGTCGCCCTACCCTAGGCCCTGGCCCGTTGCCCTACCCTACGTCTTGGCCCGTCGTCCTAGCCAACTCTTCCGCTGCGACTGAGTCCTCTTCCCCCCCCGGTTGTTACTCGCCTGTTCGTTCTCACTATGGCGACTCCGCGAGTTCTTCGTTTCGACGCCGACGGTAGACCCCTTGACTTTTCCGTCTGGCTTCTTCGCGCTCGTCGTCTGTTAGAGAGTCAGGTCCAGGGGGGCGAGACCCTCTGGTCACACGCTACTGGTGACCTCCCCGAGCCCCCCGAGCCTACAGCTTTAGGCCCTGCTCCTGACGATGCTGCTACGGCTCGCTTTGCCCGTCAGCGCGCTGACCGGACGGCTTGGACGTCGCGTGACGCTGCGGCCTGCATCGCACTCAGCAGCCTCCTCCCTGAGTCCGAGGAGGTCCACTTTACTCAGGTTCGCACCGCTGCTGCGTACCTCACTGCGATTAAGGCCCGCTACTCTACTCCCGCTACTGTCTCTCTCGGCCGTCTTTTCCTCCCGTTCCTGTTTCCTGATCTTGCCTCGTTTGAGCGCTCTGCTGACTTGATCGCTCACCTCCGCTCGCTTGACGCTAGTTACCGCGCTGCTTGCACTGAGGCACAGCTTGCACTGCTTCCTCCCCCCATGGCGATTACTGTCTATTTCATCGCCACTAGCCTCCCTGACCGCCTTGCCTCCGTTCGTGACGCGCTTCTGCTGAAGCACCCTAGTGAGCTGACTATCGAGGTCCTTGAGTCTGCACTCAAGGATGTCGAGAGCAACCTTCGTTCGGTAGCTGCCGCCTCTGGTACTGTATCCCCCCCACTCTTCCACGGGTGCACAGTCCCGCAGTTACCCACCTTCACTGCCTCTCTTGCCACTGCCGCTACTGACGCGACTGCGGCTGCTGTTACGACTGCGTCGCGGTCCCGCGGCAGGGGGGGCAAGAAAGGTGGTTCCGGTGGAGGTGGAGGCGGAGGTAGCGGAGGTAGTGGGGGTGCTGTTGCGACTGGCGGTGGTGGGAGTGCAGCGTCTGGAGAGACCCCTCGTGCAGCGGCCGGTGACTCCACTGCACCTGCTGGTGGCAGCGACCCTCGAGCTCGTCAGTCGCCTCCTGTACTGTCGGCCCCGCTAGGTGGAGCAGCGGCGTGGTACCAGGCTCAGCGTCAGCAGCACCTTCAGCAGCAGCAGCAGCCCCTTTCCTCCCAGCAGCCTCAGCAGCAGCAGCGTCAGCAGCTGGCTCCGGGGTCGGGGCTGCGTCAGCCCCAGCGCGGTGCTGCTTACCCTCCCTGCCCCTACCAGGTT